AGCGAGGCTGGCTGCGCTGGGGAAGGCTGTAATTAGGCAGGGCTGGTGCTGGGGGGGGGGCTGGTGGCACCCCACTGCTCAGGGAGAGCTCGGTGGGGGGCCTTGGTGTACCCCCAGAGCCTGAATGGGGAAGGGGAAAGGTGCAGGGGGCTTCCCCCACACACACATTGAGGAGGGTCCCTCTCTGCCCCACAGACCTCAGTGAGTTGATGTTGATGAAGCCGGTGGCATCAGCAGGCTCATAGTCCCCTTGCACGTTCATGCTGTGGAGAGAAAGGCAGAGTGGGATGGGATTCCTGGGGGGAAACAGGGCTGCCCTTTGGGAAGGGAGAATTGTGGGTGACCCTTGAGCTGGCTGCTCCCACGGGCTGGTGCTGCTGCTGCCCCTCATCCACTGCTGGTGGGTGGGGGGGGGCTCCGGGTAGGGTCCCAGCCAGCCCTGGGTAAGGGGCACGTGGTTCAGGAGCAGCAGAGCCATGGGCCCACCCTGTGGCCATCCCCAGGCTCCCCAGGCCCTGCTAGAGACACAGATCCAAATTCCTTATGCTGTCCTTCATGTACATCATCATCCTTCCTCTCTCTGCTCCAGCACCGAGCAGGGATGCCATGTCCCAGGTATGGCTGTCCCATGGCAGGCAGGGCATGGCACTGGAAAGCGAATGGAATCCTGGGCAGGAAACACTGCCCTGGGCACGAAACAGGGCCCTGGGCAGGGACATCCCCAGCACCAAAGTGGGGGTTTATGGCTGTGCCAGCCGGTGCCTTGGTGCAGCACTCAGCGCATCCCCCTCCCCAAAGTGGCAGCCACCCACTGAATCCCAACTCCAACGGTCTCCTACATCCCCTAAACACACGGCTCATTTCCCAGAAACCACAAACCTGAAAGAAGGAAGTGGAGGGAAATAAAGAAGGAAAAAAAAAAAAAAAAGAAAGAGTTTACAACGATTTTACCTCCCCTGACGGGCTACAGAAAAACCTCTGTGCTTTTATTTTTGCTCATTCGAGTGGTTCTGACCTGCTCTATAATTACGTTACTTTCTACCTACTGTGCAGAGGCATTTCCACACAGCTCTGCCTCTCACAGCTTTCTCTCGGGTTCCTGTGACGCCGTCACTCAAAGGCTTTCAAACCAGCGATGTAGAAATCAAAAAGAAAAGGAAAATGGTTGGAGACGCAGGGAGAATAAGTGCCCCTGCTTTTCTCTCCCTCTCTCTTTTTCCTCTGTCCCACCCCCCTCCATCCTCCCTTTTTTTCTTCCTTCTTTTTTTTTTTTTTATATTTTTTTTAATACTTTATTCATTTAATCTCTCCAAGTGAGAGTGCGAAGCATAATGAAGGGTTGGGATGGATTATTAGGAGCTGTTGATTTTGAGGGGGAGGGAAGGGGGGAAAAAAAAGCCAGAGAAGAGAAAGAGAGAAGATAATTTGACATTTACTCCGACTGATCTAAACTCATTTGGGTGTATTTATGGCTTATAAAGTGTTTAGAGAGATTGAAAGGGGTGGAGGGAGGGCTGAGGGGGGGAGCGAGCGAGCGAGCAAACAACGTGGAGAGAAAGGGAAAAGCCAGAGGGGGAAAAAAAAAAATATTGACTTGAGAACATGGCTCGTGCTTCAGCGGGATGCTGGGCCAAGAGGATGGTGTCACTGGGAATGGGATGGGATGGGATGTGACAGGGCAGGATGCAACAAGGTAGGACGCGACAGGATGGGACGAGATTCTCGCTGCCGCCAGCCCTGCCCACCCTGGCCCCACTCACCTCACCAGCTCCTCGTTGTACAGGGACCTTGGGGACTCCCTGCCCAGGATGTAGACCTGGCCCTTGAAGACGGAGAGGCGGACGGTGCCCACCACAGGCTCCTGTGAGCGCCTGATGCAGTGCCGGAGGAACTCGCACTCGGGGCTGTGCCAGAACCCTGTGGGCAGGAGACAGGGTCAGAGCGGGAATGGGAGAGGCTGGAGCGCCCTGGGGTGCCCCCGGTGGCCCCCCAGGCTAAGTCCTGCAAGGCAGACTCCGGGTAATTTCCACGGGAAGGGATGCAATTGCAGGACTGGGAGAGGGAAATGCTGTGCTGGGACATCCAGGTTCAGCTCAGAGAGAAGGAACCCCATGTGTGTCCCTTCCTGTTGGCAGCCCTTAGGACCCCACTGGGAGAGGAGGCTGGAACGAGCTGGTGGAGAAGAGGCCATGGGACCATCCTCCTTCCATCAGGGGTGATCAGGGAAATTAAGGGATTTGTTAAGTAGGTACGAAACTGTCACTCAAAACCTACTATCTTGGGAGAGTCAGGTGGAGAAAGCAGCCCTCCGACACCCCAAACCCTCTGAGACATCAAGTGCATCACTGTCCCCCAAAAGACACCCTGTGGGAGCAGCCCATTGGCTTTGCCAGCCACCAAGGCCACCACAGTGCATGGAGGGGCTGTGGTCCTGCCTGCCAGCCCCCATGCCCCCTTCTGTCTCTAAGCGGGGTAATTAGCCGGGAAGCCCTTGGAGACCTGGAACAAAGCCTGGGAGATGTAGAAGGAGATAGAGGTGGAGAGAGAAAGAGCCCATTCACAGCCCTCCGGTCATCCCCAGGTTTTATCTCTCCCATCTCACTCCCTGCTCGAACACCGGTGCCCTCTCACCTTTCCCTTCCCAGCTGGGCTCCGGGGCCGAAGCCATTAAGGAAACAAACAATTTCTTTTGTTGTTTGGCCTCGCCAGCCCCCGAGTGGGGCCGTATCCTGCAGCCCCGTCCCTGGGGTCTGTGTGGCCCCGCTCCAAGACACAGCACCACAGCCCTGCAGCCCCTCACCCCCGAAACCACTCCCCACCCCACCACAGCACGGCTGAGGGGTTTGGGGACCCCTTTCCCTGCAACCAGCACTGCCATACCAACAGGAACTCCGGCTCCAGGCAAATAAACCCCTGGTTTTGGTAACCACCCTCCAGGAACAACCCTTCGATTATCGGGATTGATGCAGGGCTGCTGCATCCCTGTGAAAATAAACCCCAGACACATAAAAATAATAACCAGCTGCTTAAATCCTGACTCTGACAGCTCTGGGTGGGAGGAAGCATCACACCTCCATCCTTACCCCCCGAGTGCAGACACTGGAAGCGATCCCCCTTAATGATCTACCCACCATCCTGCCCTAATCACGGCGTGGGCAGGGGGACAATGGCATTTCCGCACCTGGATGTACCTGCCCAGACGGAACCGTCTTCAAAGCCGCCCCTCCACAATGGGATCAATGGGAACAGGCGGAAGATAAACACTAATTCCCCTAAAAACACGGACTAGCTGCAATAATGAAGTGTTAAAGGAAGGTGAGTTCGAAAGCCTGGCCTCCGGCATTGGGGTTGCTCCTTGGGTTCGGGATTGGCTGCCAGGGAAGTCTAGGACCATGCTGGAAATCCCTGAGGATTCAGGATTTGGAGCCAGGGAAACAGCAGCCTTCACCTGGCAAAGATAGGGAGGGAGAAGCGAAACCATGAGTCCCTGAGTGGCTCTTTAACCTGGTGGCTGCACAACTCAGTGGTTAGAAATAAACAAACAGGTTTATGCCTGAACTAAGAAAAAAAAAAAAAAAAGAAATAAAAACAAAGTTAAAATTAAGGCAGCCCAGGTCAAAGTCTAACAAAAATGGCCAGAGACAGAAGCGGCATCAGAGTGTGAATGAGGGCAGGAGCTGTGATCTAAGGGAAAGGTAACCAAGACTTCTGCAGCTCCTGCAGGGCCCTAAAATATGATTTAAGCAGCAAAGGGGCTCAGATACTAAATGTCAGTTGCTGAGGAAGATGGAGTAGGGAATGTCCTTAGAGGGGAAGGTGGCAAGCACCAGAAAGTGCCTGACCCAGTCCTGCTGTATCTGCTGCTGCCCAAATCCCAAGCTTCCAGCCAGGTTATTTACAGAGGATCTTCCCATGAAAGATCCCCATGGGAATCATCCCAGCCCCTTGTAGTTAAAAACACCCGAAAGGTGATGGGAGGAGGAACTGAGAGCGCAAGAAATCAGGACCTGTGAAAGATGAAAGTGTTGTTTGGATGGGGGCAGGAATCTTTCCAGTGTGGGGCCTCCAGGGGGTGTCAGTTCTGATCTGAGCACCCAAGTGTGGGCAGTAGGGTTTTGAGCCCATCTGTGGCATTTTGGGCTAATCCCACTTCCTTCAATTTACCACCAGTGACTGGGTTGGGGTGAATCCAGAGATCAATCCTCAGGGCAGTGATGATTCCCTTCCCAAGGTGCCATTCCCAGCCCTGGCAGCCTCTTGACCCAGTGAGCAAAGAGGATGCTGAGCTGAGACCCCTCAAACTCAACCCACAATCTGGAGCTGCAGCTGCTCCACAGGAGGGAGGACACGGGGCTTCATTTCTGCCCCTCACTGCTGGGTGAGCCAGTGTTCCCTTTTCCCTTCAGGCTCCCCAGCCTTCTCCAGGCCCTGCTGTCCTGGGCCAGGCTGGGAGCCCCTCCTGCAGCCCCAACCCGCAGTGCCCCTCTGTGGGCTGTGCACCACATAGCGCAGCTGGGACCCTCTACCTGCAGCCCCCAGCACCTCGAGGGGCCCCTGTGCCACACATCCCTGCCAGGGCATGGGAAGAGGTCCCTGACTTCAAATTCCATGGTAGGGATGGCTGTTCTGGGAGCTTGGGTGCCCCACACCCCAGAGTGTTTGAGTCCTCATGGGGTGAGAGCAGGCAGAGATGGAACGGGTTGGAGGTGAGAGCTGGGGAAAAGGTGGGGGGACAAAGGGATGGTGAATGACATCCCATGAGACATGTGTTTGTTGGGATGAAGGGGTGGCATTGGGTTGGGAGGGATTCTGGGAGCATCACCTCATGGAAGACAGCATCGCCTCCCAAAGGCAGGCACGGAGCTCCCTCGGCAGGAAAGCAGGCAGAGTGTGGCATTGAGCTCAGCCCAAACCCACCTTTTTCCCTTAGTGAGTAGCCTCAAAATCCACACCTGAATTTTACAACCCTGAGCACACATACTGGTGGGACCTGCAACCTCAAGCAGCACCAAGGGAGGAGGAGGAAGGCTGGGAGGAGGCTGCAGTGGCAGGTCCGGGCTGAAGGACCATACATACCGTTGTACACCAGCTCGGAGAATTTCAAGGCGAGCCCCTGCTTGATTTTCCGCACTTCCCGGTCCATGGTGAAGGCCTCGATATCTAAATGCGCGTGGTATAGGATCGTTCCCGCTGGGGTCTCATAGATACCTACCCATTTTTCCAGGCAGGGGGAAAAGCAGAAAAAGAGAGGGAAACGAATGAGACCAAAACTGTCAGCAAATGACAAAAAATAATGACTTGGCTGACAGAAGGAGCCGTGGTCGAGCGCATTCAGTCTCAGCTCGCTGTAAAATGCATCTGTCATTATATTCATGCTGGGGCCGAGACAGTCCACTCCGCACCTTGCGGAGAAAATTTCTAGATTCCCCTCTTTGAAGAGGCACTCTGACGAGGCTAAATGACAGGGTTTGGGAACCGATCCCCCCCACCCATCCGTGCCCAACGGTCTGCGGCTGAAAACCTGTAATTAGCGGAGCGACGCGGGGCACAGGCACGGGGAGCGCGGGGCCTGAAATACCCTCCTCTCCCCTCGGCTGGCGAGAAAGAGCCCCGCGCGTCCGCTGGGAAGCAATGAGGCTACCTGGGGGCTGGGAGGGAAACCTCCTCTGGGGCTGGCAAGGCCCCCCCCCCCCCCCAAGTCCCTTCCTGCTGCCCCTCCCTCCCCCCTTCAATGCACAAGGCCTGGGGATGGAGGATGCTTAATTGTTTCAGAAAGCTGCTCCTTTGTTCCAGCCGTTCAGGGCTTGTTTTCTGCCTAAAGTGGTTACTTGGTGTTTAAATAGGGGTGCAGTGCTCCCATCCAGGTCAGATGTGGGTGGAAAGGCGGTGGGTGAAACACTGAGCTTGTCCAGCAAGGAACACATGTTGGGAAAGGCTGTAACTTGTCCATGGTCAAGGCTGCTTCATCAGCATATCCTTGTCTGCCTGTGGGGATGGTCCCTTCCCAACACCAGGCAGCTGCTATGGCATGGGCATGGCAAAGGGGTTTGCTGACACACAAAGAAACCCTATAGAAAAGCAGCCCCAGTGAATGGTCCCCAACCAGTCCCAGCCCTGAGAGAGGGTGAGAGGAGCCCCCAGGGCAAAAAACCTCACCAGGCTCTGCTCTTTCAGTGCCCTGGAGAGTGGCACAGGCACACATCCTGTCCCAGAGTGGCCACAGCCCCACAGACACAACAGGAGCCCTTGCTGCATGGCAGCCCAAGCCATTTCCATCAAACCTCATCCCAACCAGTGTCCATGATTTCAGCATCCTTAAGGCACAGAACACGATCCCACCATCCCAAAGGAGAGCCAACCCCTCCTCTCCAGCCCCTCCAGTGATGTTGCAGCCTAGTCCTGACAGGGCTGTGGGAGCAGACAGCTGAGTTAACACCAAACCCCAGCTGTCCCCATGGCTATGGCGGTGGCACAGGAGTACAGAGCTCTATGTCCCCTCCAGCCCCTGACCATGGAGTGGAGCCCACCACTAACACAATTAATATTCCCTCTCCTTCCCCTTAGGAGGTGTTAAAGCCAATTTGGGCTGATGATTTGTGTACGTGCCTTGACCCCCACATTCTGCCCATCTGTGGGTCCTAGAGGATGGAGGACCAGAGTGTGTCAGCCAGGGCAGGGGGGAGGGCAGCTGACAGCCACACTCCAGCCTCGCCGCTGCCGAGGAGATAAGAGACACCTTCAAAGTGACACTCGCAGCATCTCCAAGTGTCTATTTTCATCTCCCCGTGTTTACAGGAAAAAGACAGAGGTGTCAGCACTGCAGCCCAGCGATGCTTCAATCACCCCATAATTACTGCTGGGGAAGGGGGGACTGCAGTCAGGGGGGGTGGGCATGGAGGGGGGCAGCCAAGGAGACAGCTGCTGCTACTTAAAATTTTCTAATTTGTAACCTTGGCTGTCATTTCACCTCCATCCAAGCAATTTTGCTGCGCCGAGTGCAGGCTGTCACTCCCGACGTCATTCACGGGACAGGATGGGAAGCAGTGACTTCCCCAGGGAGAATGCTGCCCATGGGAAAACGCTGCCCAAATTTCTACCCCTGGTCCAGGGCCGAGGCCAAGGTCGGCCTGATTTGTGTTCATTGCAGGGAAGGGGTTTTCCACTTTCCTGCTCCATCAGGAGGAAAGGGAAAAGGAAGGAGAGAGCCAAGGGGAGGAAAAGCCCCAGCCAAAAGCAGCACTCGGCTTTTGGCAGTGGCCACCCCCTCCTTCCCACTTCATCCCCACTGATTTCATTTACTTCACTTAATTAGCCCCCCTTCGGAGTTAAAAAGATAATTTGATAATGAGGATGTGAAAAGGCGGGAGAGGCAGGGCCGTGCTCCCAACGCAGCCCAGAGCCCCCGGCAGAGCCGTGCCCCCCCCCAGCCGGCTGCAGCTCCACTCCCTGGCACCCCATAATTACCCACCTCCTCCCACTAAAACAAATATGGCAAAACCGAGTTAATAGGGCTTAAAAGGCTGGTGCGGGTGCTTGCCACGTGCCCCTCGCCCATTAGGCCTTAACGAAGTTCAATTAGGAGCTTAGTAAAAAAAAAAAAAAAAAAATCAATGCAAACGAATTTTTCTCTTCTCCGTCTCCTCGGGTCTGGGAGACGAGGGAGAGGAGGCACCTTCTCTGCCACCTGCACAGCATGGAGGGATCAGTTCCTGCTGTTGACTGTGCCTCAGTTTCCCCAGCAGAGCTGGGGTCCCTGTGCTGCCCCAAAGAACCTGCAGAACCCTGAGTCAGCAGGGCCACCTCACACCACTGGGATTTAAGGGATCACCTCCTGCCCTGCTGACCCTAAGCCCATTTGGGGTCCAAAGTACTCCTGGCAGTGGGAAGGTGGGGTCACCTCAAGCTGCCCTGCACCCCAAAACCTCCGAGGGTGACGGAGGTACCCACAGCCCCCTCCTGTTCCAGCCCCTTTACATCCCCGCTCTCCATCTCTCCCACAGGACATCTTGTTGGAGCAGATTTCTCAAAGGTTTTTCTTAATCCCAAGAAGCAAAACTAGGGGCAGGATCCTGCTCAAAGCAAGTGGGGGAGCCACCCCAAGGTCTTGTCCCCACAGGAAGCCCACCCCAAGGTCTCATCCCCGCTGTGCACACCCCGCTGTCCCCACAACGCCCGGTCCTGCCGCGTCCGCCGGCGCACAAACACCACAGCGATCGCTCAGCAATGTCATGCAGGAGGCAGACATGACAGTTAAATGGGGTTTAGAGAAATTATTAAATGCTGGAAGGGTCACTAGAGCGTGTCAGTGGCTCTTAAAAAAAATAAAATAGATTTTGACAAATTACTCAGCATCCTGCATGCAAATGCGCCGGCTGGTGCGTGCGGGTCGGGGTTGGGGCTTTTTCTTCCTTCTTTTGGTTTTAATTCGATTATTCAAACCCAGATCAAATGATTTGGGGTTTTGATTCTCGCATTTTGCGGTGGATGCTCTTGTGAAGGGCCCTGCGGTGGGGAGGGAGAAACTCAGGCTGAGTCTAACCAAAATATTTGCTGTCACCCTGCACAGAGGGCAAGTTTAAAGAAAGGGAGCATCTAATTAGGTATTAACAGGGTTTAAAACAAAAGAGAGATGACAAGGAGATGGGAAATGAAGCTGAGCCACCTCGTTACTTAGTTCTGCACAGGGCAGCTTGCTGCCTCCAGAGGTTTCCAATGGAATTGATCCCAATGGACGATCAATACCAAGAGTCACGGCCTCCAAAATGCGTAGATAAATCAAAGAACTGGATTTTAAAAAACCCTCCATGACTTACATCAGCCTCCTATGTTTTCTAGTGTTACAGAGCCTGGCACCCTCCAGGAGCATCCTCCCACCAAGCCCACAGCCTGGTGTTTTTCCCACTGGAGACGGGTCTCACCTGGTGGCACTGGGACCCCAGGGCTGGCGCAAACAGGGGCAGCGAGTGGGCAGCTGCCATCATTAGAGAACAACCAGAAGCTGCTGCCACAGGGAGATCTCCATCAAAAGCTCATGGGGAGGAAAAGCCTGAGGTGGTGGGGTGACCTGAGCCACATCCCCCCGGGGTTTTCCTTTCTTTTTTGCTGTTTTTAGGGCATGGATGGCACCGCAGGCTCACCTCTGGACTTCATCCCGACGAAGCGGTTCTCCACGATGTCGATGCGCCCAACCCCGTGCTTGCCCCTGCGAGGAGAAGGGAGGTTGCAGCAGCCCCATCTCCACACTGGGACATGGGCAGCTGGGAGAGGTGGGTCAGAGGAGTGGACAGTGTGGGGCAAACCCCAAATGACAGCACAGTCAGCTCCTGAGCAGCACTAGTGCCCATCAGTAGTGACCTGGGGCCAGCAGCACCACAGGCGGCCGTGGCACTTGAGCCACTGGAAAATAAACCAGGCAAGGAGACAGGACATGCCACAGCTCTATTCCCAGCAGCCAAAGTAATTTTAAAACCACTTAATTAACATTTAAAAAATGAACTACATGGAAAAGTTCATTCCCATTCACCACCAGGGGGATAAAGGCAGGGGCACGGAGGAGGATTGAGGGGACCAGATGGTACTTAGGAGGAGCAGGTGCCCTCATGGGTGCTGCTCTATTTTTGGGCTAACCCCTGGGGATAGTTCTGTGCCAGTGGCATCAGAAACTGGGCATGGGGTGGCACAGGGCAGAAAACCCCAGAGGATGCTGCACATGTGGGAGGTGGGGATCTGGGGCTGAGCTGGGACCAGCGGCAAAGGGGTGCCCTGCAGACAGGGGCTCAGCCTCTGCAGTGGGCAGGGCAGCCCTCACCCAGCAGCTGGGGCACATGCACAATGCAGAGGGTGTTCAGAGGACTTTTTAACCCTCCTCATGCACAGAAAGCAACACCCTGGGGCATTGATGCCCTCGTGTTCCTGGTCTTCTGCCTGCCTCTGCTTGCTGGCATTTAGGGACAACTGGGACCCAGATGGGACCATCCCATGCTCACACTGCTGACCGCCATCCCTGGGCTCGTCAGGACGTGCCTGCTGCGAGCATCCTGTTTCTACCCCACCCTGGGTACCCTGGTCATCTGCCCTTGTCCCTGCTGCCAAGGGACAGAGTGGCACTCACGCGATGTCGTTCAGGTACACGAAGAGCTCCAGGGCCGAGGAACGAGTGGCTCCGTCCCCAGTGTTGGTGACCTTCACTGGGACACCTGCAGAGGCGGGGAGCGAGGACAGGCAGGATCAGCTGGTGTCAGGATCCCCCCGGAACATCATCCCGCAGGCGTTAAATAGATGTGACAGATATGAACTCTAAATAACTTCTTAAAAAGGCATATCCAAGCTGGTGCGAGGGGGAGGTGAGGGGAGGGGGGACCCACCTCGGGAGAGAGGCGAAATAAATAAATAAAAAAAAGGCCATAAAAATGTCACACCCCCCTCTTTTCCCCTCTCTTCTCCCTCTCTCTTTTTTAGGGCCTGTGAAATTGCAACCAGGCCCTTAACTAATTGAATTTCACGCTCCGCAATTGTCTTACAGCGCAGCACCTTCTGTCCCACCAGCCCCTGCCGGGGAGGGGGGACACGGTGACAAATGTGTGCCCCCCCTCCCTCGCCAGCACGGGGGGCGTCTGGGGGGGTGGGGGGGGAAGGACCCCCACACCGGGGCACGGCTGCTCGCACACGCACGCACACGCACCCCGCGGCGGGGTGCTCCCCGCCATGAATTAATTATTGCACCTTTTCTTTCCCCCCCCACCCCCCTCTTTTTTTTTTTTTATTTTCCCCTTAAATTTTTTTTAAGGGCACCGGGCAGGGGCAAAGGCAGGAGGGAAGGGGGGTTGGAAGGGGGGGGGGGGATGCTGAATAGAAAGAGGCATTTTTCTTTAGCGGTGTGAAATGAGCAATAAATGTATTAGGAAGCTGACAAGGGGGCTGCGGGGCCCACAAAGAAAAGCGGTGCGGAGTTGGAGGCTAATCCCCCCTCCATCTGCCCTCCTCATTACCATTTAACGCACTATCAGTTGCCAATCAGCCTCAATGCCTCCCTTTCTAGTCTTTATTATATAGGCGCCCGCAAGAGCCCTGTCTAGTGACGGGGGCTGTCAGCTCCCCACCACTGCCCCCCTCCCTCTAAACCCCCTATTTTCCAGGGGTTTATAAACTCAGTTGTAAATTGCTATTAAATGTAACTCGCGGCAATAATGAACCTTAAGCTGCTTCTCGGCGCGGGCCCCCCCACCCCGCGCCCTCCCCTCGCCCCGGCTCTTTTCTCTTCGCATCCTCCGCCGGGGTATTGGCCCGGGTCCGCCCGGCGAAGAGCCGACGTTGTCGGGGCCGTTGTTGGTGAAAGCTGCTTAGCCTTTGAAATAGTTAATAATTAGATTAAAACTTCAAATAAATTAACTAGGGGCTGAATGGGCTGCTGGAAGGAGGAGGGGGGGGCTGCTCCTTGCAGGGGGATCGTTATAATGGAGCAGGGATGCTGGCGGCGGGGAGGGGGTGCCCCCTCCCAGCGGGGCTTCCACACTCACCCCCCCAGCCTGGGCTGGGCTCGCTGCTGCTGCTGCCAGGATGGATGGTGGCACAGGAAGGGCCACGGCTGCTGGAGGTGGGAGATGCTGCCCAGTGTCCCCTCTCTGGTGAAGGCTCCGGGTCTGGGCCCTGCCGTGCGTCCCCAGGGATGTGATGGGGTGTCCCTGTCTCCTTCATTTAACACTGATAGTACCAAAGGCCAAATCCTGCTGGAGCATCTCCTCGGCTGTGACACCGAACAGGGCCACCTGGGTGTTCCCAGGGCCACCTGTGTGCCACCCCGCAGGAGAGGGACCACTGCACCTTGATGGCTGTGGAGGGGACTTTCTGCTCTCGGAGGGGTGCCAGCAACCCCTTGAGATCTAACCAGATCCTCTGCCCAGAGCCCCAGTGTGCTGCAAGCACCATCCTTATCCCTGATGCCACGAGTTCACCCTTGTGCCCTCACTCTGGAGATGCTCCTGGCTGCCAGGGAATCCTGCTCCTGGCTGGGAAGTGGGGCTTGTCTTTGGGGGGCCAAGGCACGAAGATCTGGCAGCAAGGAGGCTCTTACCCCGCTCAAACTCGATCTCCAGCACATCCGGGGTGTTGGGAGAGGTGGCCGGATCACGGGTCTTCGTGTAGAGCCCGGGGGGAGCCTGATTCTGCGGGGAGAAGGAGAGAAGTGGGAGAGTCAGTGGCATTGCCATGGCCAACAGTGCTGACATTCCCAGGCCCAGACTGCATCCCACAGCCCAAAGTAAATCCCCCTCTTCCCCTGGTGCACCCTCCATCCCAAAAGCGTACCCCACCACCCCAAAAGCGCAGGACCGGCGCAGTGCACCACCGGCGCTTACCGGGGCCCTGGGAACAAAGGGGTTGGAAGAATCAGCCAATTTTTCCCCTCAACTTGATCTCATCTTTTCCTCCAACGCCCCCACAGCTGGAGGCGGGATGGCTGCAGAGAAGCAAGTCAGGCAGGGAAAAGCGGGACGCTGGCAGCGAGCGGCGGGGCGGGCGGGTGCCCGCGTGTCCCCGCACCACGGCCGGGCTCATCCGCCGCTGACCGAAAAAACTAATGAGGAGGCCTGACCCCAGCAGGTGCTCCAGGCGCCACCGGCTCTTTCGTGGTGTCCCCGGGGTTAATACACACGGGGGAAAATAGAGCGGCAAAGCAAAAACCCATTTCAGAGCACATCAACCTTTATGTATATTGTTGTGGGGGTTTTTTGTGAGATTTATAGGAAAGAGGCATCTTATCTCCATCAGCGCCAGGCCAGCGGAGGCTCGGGCACCGATGGTGAATTGCTGCAATTGAAGTGCGTGCCAGAAGAAGGGGAGGGGGGGGAGATACAATAAAAAGGAGCTCTTCGTCCCAGAGAGCAAATGCTTTGCAATTTCACATGCCCCCTCGGCACTCACTCGCGATGTGACTGCACTTACTGACCCCAAAATACTTTCAGATCGGTGTTTGCAAACTCCTGTCTCCAAAGGGACTCCCCACCCAGCCGCAGCTCCAGGGGGTGGAGGGGAAACTGAGGCACAGAGCACCCAGTGCATGTGCAGAGTGGTGGAAAGGCAGGAGGCCTTTTAAAAGGTGGCAAACTGATTATTTCCCCACTAGACTCAGCTGGGGAGAGCTGGAGCTCTGGAAATCCTTGGGCAGTGGGGCCTTGCCTGCACCCACTCACCCACTGCTTGGCACACGCTCCCCCTGTTCCTCCTCTCCTTTATAAAGCACAGCTCTTCTCCTGCTCACTTGATAGAATCATGGAATACTTTGGGATAGAAAGGACCTTTAAAGACCTCTTTTCCTCCCTTCTCTTCCTTTCCACCAAGGTAAAAAAGGACAAGGCATAAAGCAAGTTAAGGAAAAGAACCCCCAAAATCCAACCAAGTGGTTGCTTTAAAAAAAAAAAAAAAAAAAAAAAGCTTTTTAAAAGGAAAATTAATTTCTCTACAGAAGTTTTCATCTAAAACTTTCACAGATGGTCAGTAAGAATTTTAGTGAAAACTTCCATTTATTTTTGTCCAAACATAATTTATATTTGCTGGAGCACTGCCAGCACCTGAGGGAAGCCCACCCAAACTGCAAGCACCCAGTCAACCCCTTTTCACCTGGGGTGCCCCTCCCTTGCCTCACCCCAAACCCTGGTGGGCACATCCCAACAGTAACCACAGCCAAATCCCGGGAATACAGACATAACTACCCGAGCACACTCTGCAGCAAAACTCCCCTCAGTTCCCATTTTATGTCGTTTTTACCCCTTTCCCTTGTTTTAAGGGAGAGGCGCTGGTAGGCAGGCGCATCTCCCTGTGCCCCTGCACACAGATTACACGGGCTGTGGATTTCAATTTTACATCGTCTGGCCTTTCCTAGCCCTGATCACACTTATTAACTAGATGAACCTGTGAGAGATGATGAAAAACTTTGAGTTCAAAAGGAAAAGATGGAAGAAGGGGGAGAAGAAATACCGGAAAGTATTAAAAACTCTTTACTAAACATTGGAAGTCAAAGTCAGGTAGTTTCCAATTTTCCGAGCCAACTATGAAAACCCCTATTAAATAAAATAACTAAATAGAAATAAAAGTGACATTTGGCTTGCATTCCATCATTACGGTGTGAGTCTGTCCTCTTTTTATTCTCTCTCCTAAAAGCACAGTTCAAATGACAAATAGTTTGTTGCAGTGTATCAATGCCTTCTATTTATCCCTCCCCGCAGGGGGGCTAGTCCTGCAATGTCATCTTTAAAGGGGAGAAGGAAAAAAAAAAAAGGGGGGGGGGAGAAAAAAGGGGAAAAAAAAAAGGAAGAGTGTGTGGAAAGGGAGAGAGGGAGGGGGGAAGAAAGAGGCAAGAAAAACGGGGCAAGAAGAGAAGAAATTGGAAGCAAATGGTCCATGAAGTAAACCATGATGCAGAGCTATCGATGCCGCAAATGGTTTATTCATCCGGCTGATATTGTTGTGCCCGGGACTGAATGAACTCTTTCAGAGTGCCATATGAAGTTAAAGCAAGTAAATTTCTATCTTTCTCCGCATTAGCTGCCTCATTGCCCTTCAATCGGGCCTCACAGAGGCAGAAAATAGCTCAACCATCTGCTTTCAAATCCCTGCGTTTGGCAGGTCCCGGGGGTTTGGGGAGGGGAGCCCGCCGTGCCTGGCACCTCGGATCCTGCCACAGCCACCAGGTGCCCGGCACTGCTTCCCGGGCCGGGGAGGGGACAGTGGTGACACCGCGCTCAGGGAAGCCACCTCCCAGCGCTGGCGGAGGGTGAGGTGCCCCAGCGGAGGATGCTCGGGGACGGGGTCAGGGCACTGGTCAGCCCCGTTTTCCAAGCTGGCTGTGGGAAGGAAGCGGGCTTGGCAGAGCCTGGGGACTGGGGGTCTTCCGCTAGAGAAGAGGAGAGGTGCTGGGTGCGGAGGGGTGGGTCAGGACGGGCGCGGGTCAGTCCCTTGCCAGCTCCAGCTAGAGGCACGAACGCCCATCCCGGTGCCAACCGCTCTCCTGGAGGAGAGGAGGCTCCTCGGGAACCCGACTTTGCAAAGCCTGACCCACGGACACCCCTCTGGAAGGCGCCGAAGGGGGAGCGGGACCCCCTCTCCACCTTCCCCTTCCTTCCCCCGCCGGAGGCACGCGTCAGCCCAGCTGCGGGGAGCCGGCTGCGGGCGCCGAGCTCCAGCGGCTCCTCTCCCTCTCCGCCTGCCTCCCCCTCCTTCTCCCCGGGTTGTCTAATTAGCGCTGATGGATAGTTTAAGTAGCCGCCGAGCGCGGTGACCCGCTGGAGCATGAACAGCGCCGGCAGGGCCAGCGGGCGGCCGGACCAACCAGCGCCGTTCGGAGCGGCCGGAGATGGTGCTGCGCTTCCAGCAGCACCTGGCAGCAGATCCCAGCGCCACCACCGGGCTCCTGGCCCCGTTGGGAGTCAGAACTGGTGGCCCCACGGATGCCCTCGGGGTCTCCAACACCCCACCCATCTAAGGGCAGGTTTTACCCCACGTTCCCACAGAGAGAGGGGATGGGAAAGCGAGGAGGGCCGGGCGAGCTGTAGGAACAGAGAGGGAACGCGAGCTACAGGGGCCAGCCCGAACCTCCGCCACCAGCTCCGACTCTCCCACCAGCACCTCATCTGTCTAATTGCTCTTTTATTGCTGCCCCGCGACATTGTCCCCTCCAGCGTCACCCTGAAACGGTCCCTTCCCCTATTCATGCCGGCGGCAATTAACGTGCCGGGGGAGGCGGAGGGGCCGGGGCGGGCGGCGGAGCCTCCCCGCACACACGGACGGCCCCGCCGTGAAATTTCCAATTAGGCTGCAAACACACGAGACGCCCCCGGCCCCGTGGCTGCCACGCTGGCCGGGTGGCCGTGATCGATTACCTTGGGGTTCTCCAGGATCCCGGCTTCGTAGCTGCAGCAGGCAGGGAAGGAGGGAGAAGTCACTGTAGCACCTGCAAACTGCAACCCCAAACCCCACCGGGATGACAACCCCACTCCCACCACCCCATGGATGGGAGTAAACACATGTTATGGATCTCCAGGGCACTTTAGCAGTAGCCCTGCAAAGAGAACCAGGAGATGGATGCTGCCACGTGGGATGTGGACAACTGAGAAGAAAGGGAGGCTGGAGGTTTCGGGGTCACCCGTGGTGAACAGGTCTGGGATGATGGAGGTGTGAAGGGCCACAAAGGGTGGAGGGGATTGGGGCCCCAGACCCTGTGTCCTCACCCCACAGAAGCTCCCCACTTGCCTGGCCTCTCACCTGATGTGCATGAGGTTCTCATCCATGCTCCAGGGTGTCTGGGGTGTCACAGGCACCGGGATCCCATGTTTCTGCCAAAAGAATGCATTGCCAACCAGTTAAGACAGCCTGTAGGCAATGCCAGCCCCCACTGGCACCGTTTCCCACCAGGATCAGCCCCAAAAGCTCAAAGGCACAACCCATCGTCACCCATAAGGCGGCACAGAGCAAGCTGCACACCCACGTTCCTGACCCTGGACAGCATCGGCTCCCACCACAAGGGCCACCTCGATGGGGACATCAGGGACATTGTGTGAATGGGAGGACAACAGCTGTCCCAGACCTGCCACAGGCTGAGAAGAGACCCCAGAGCACCCCATGAACCCCAGCAATGGGGACACCAACATGGACGTTGTGTTTTTCCTAGGTCCAGGTCCAAGACAGTGCAACATTCTCAGGCGCATGGTAGGACAACAGGTTGTCCTATGAAGGTCAGGAATTGGACTCAGTGATCCCTGTGGGTCCCTTTCAACCCAGGATGCTCCACAATTCTCCCAGCCGGGCTGCTTAACAAGGGGAGGCCACAATAACACAAAACCCCAAATCCACAGGATGCTCTGGAGGACTGATGCTCTGCAGGACTGACGCTCTGCCATGAGGGGACAGCAACGCAAACACACAGCAAAGTAGGTGTGGGGGTGTCTCCCCGAGCCTGGGCACCCCGAGCATGCCGTGCCAGGGGACAGGCGGCCCCACACCGGCTGCCTCCCCGGCACAGCACAGCGCGCCGCACCGAGCCCGGCTCCCTAACAAGGTCACTGGTGTGCTCAATTATCCACTGACATTTCAATGGGGGAAATTGCCTGTGAAGACGAGGTGAATACGCAGGGGAATTAGCAGGAGAGGTGATGGCAGCAGGCTGACAACTGGAGCCAGTGGGGACATCGCCCACCCCGCTGGTTTGAGGAGATGGGATGTGCCAGCTGTGGGATGGCCACGGGGAGACAGGGGTGGAGATGGTGGCTCTGGGCTCCCACTGTGCCCTGATGCATCTGTATTCTGGCATTTCAGTGTCATCACAGCAGGGACATCAGCCAAGGACTTGGCCAGGGACGGAGGAGCAGGGGCTGAGCAGAAGCTCCTTGTTTGCCAGGGAGAGGGGAAGGAAATACTTGTGGTTGTTTCATCACAGTCCTCAATCCATCACCTGAATACCATTCTGAAATACCTCCTAAGGCTGCAGAGGGGCTGAATCAGCTCTGGTCCTGGGAGGATGTTGCCTCAGGCTCATGGGTCCTGATTTGCTGGTACCACACCACAATTCCAGTGCGGGACCCCCTGGGATTCCCCTAATGTCCAAACCCATCCAAGGTGCTCGAAGGACCTGGCCACAAATCTCCCTCTCCTGAGCATGAAGAAGAAGAGACACACCCCCCCACCTTGTTTTCTAAGTACTAGGAACCCTCACCCCACAGCCTTTCCTCTTGGAACTGGGCCCCAATCCATTTCATTTCCCTTTCCCCCCCCCAAACAAACAAACACAAAAAACCCAAACCCCACAACCAAAACAAAACTCCCCAAACCCAAAACACATGTTCCCTTTTCCACCTATAATAAAAACCGCGGCGCTCTTAATAACTCCCCTACTTGACGATTTGTTTGGCAACATATGGAAAGCTCTCGTAAACTCGTCCCTTCATAATACAGCGGCAGATGGCAAACACAATCCTCAACACGCCACCCTCTCCTGGCGGCCCTAATGGGCTCGGAGGGCTCCTCACCCCACGCCACATCCCTCCAGCTCCACACCTCGCCTTCCCAGAGATTGCCCAGGCAGCTTCGACGGCAGCTATTTAAAAACTGAAGCAATTTTCTGGTTTATGCACAGAGCTGCCTTTTCCCTCTTGATTGATTGAGCCGAGTTGTCAAGCATTTCCATGAAGTCGCTTAAAAAAGAAAGGTACCCTGGTGGGCACGTAAAAACCTGATGCAAAACTTCTAATATGTTTTATTGTAACTTGTACTTCAAAAAGGAAGGGGCAACAAAGGTGAATTGTATTTGCTTTGTCTGCTACTCAAGTCAGGGAGCTGAGACCCGTTTCCTTGGAAAGCAGGTTACCGTTAATAGCCAGGTAATTATGGGGCTTTTAGAAAGGGAGAATGAAAAAAAAATTAATGGGGGAGGGGGAACCCCAACCAGAAGGCTGCAGTGTGGTGCTGGAGGGATGTTGTGCAGGGCTTGCTGCTGTCACCTGCCAAGCCACGGTGAGATCCCGTGGCCACGCTGAGCATCCCACAGCTACCCTGAGCTTTCCACAGCCGCTCTGAACATCTTTTGCTGCCCTTCTGGGTTCCCCAAGCATCCCACGGCCACACCACACCAGTTCCTACCTTGGCATAATCCATCAGCTCCCGGCGCCCAGGGAAGCGCTGGTAAAACTCGGGCAGCCTCCACGGTGCAACGACCTGATGGGAGCATGAGATGAGAACCCCCAGCCCTCAGGTAGCCCCTGGGCCCCCTTTGCCCCTTGGAGCAAGGGGACCCAGGACCCACAGGGTGTTGGTCCCCCAGATGAAATTTAATCTCCCAGCACAAGGGAAGGGGAGTAACCCAAACCCCTGATCCTAACCAGGCACTGGATGCAGGGGGCGAAACAGGCAGCATCGATTATCCAGCAGCTGCCTTAATACTGTTTCCTCTGTGGCCTCGTGGTGTTTGGGGTAAAAATAGGTCAATTAAGGATCATTACAGCCCCCTCAAATGCCAAAACGTCGCTGTGTGCAGCTGGTAGCTTGTTAAAGTGAGGTATGGCCGCTTGCCTCGGTGTTAAAACAGAGTTCCCCACCAGCTGGGGAGAGGCCAGGAGCCTGGGGGTGGGATGATTTCAGGTGCCTTACCTTGATTTTGGGACACAGGGCGTAGCAGGAGAGCTCGAACCGAACCTGGTCATTGCCCTGAAACGTGAATGGGAGATGTTGAGGAGTCCCTCCTCAGCAGGGCAGGCTGGGAAGCGGGTGCCCCCCCACCCTGACCCCACTGCTGGGGGACAGGATCTCACTCCTGGACCAGCTCGCACAGGGCCATGCAGCATCCTCTGGAGAGGAATGTTGCCTGACAGGGACACGGATTTGGATTTGGTGAAAGAAACGGCAAAATTAGCAGGAAATCTTAAGGAAAAAAAAAAAAAAAAGGCAGGAACATTAAAAGTGCAGATGATGAGTCAACAGCTCCCAGCTGTGCTACAGCCCCAGGGCTTCATGCAGGGAACTGAGAGGCTCAGGGGTTGCTGGGCAAGCACTGGTGGCAGTGCACACATGTGGGGGTGCACGTGTGTGACAACACACACATGCAACCTCTGAGGTGCTGCTTGGCTTCAGTCACAGCTCCCCTTGCAACACTGAAGACCTCAGGCATGGTGGGCAAGGATCCTCTGTCCTGTGGGGTCTCTCCTGGTCCCTCTCCAGGGCTTGTTTTAACCCCAAACCACCTTTCCTGGAGCTCGTACTAGCCAGGCATTCAAAATCCTCATGCAGCTCATTCACCAGGCTCCAAGGGAGACAGGCTGACCACAGACTCACCCAAGCTGTGCTCTGCCCTGGGCTGACTCCTGACAGCTGAACCAACAGAAACTCAGATTTGGATATTTTTCCCCCAAAGGCATCAAAGGACACGTGGAGAGAGAGGGCAAGGTGGGAGGAAAGACCATGGTGAGCAGGAAGATGCAGTAGCTCATAATTTATTAGCTCTGAACCTCCCTTTACCTTAATTGGCCCTTGCTGATGAGGTACCACTAATGAGGCCAGGTAGCTGGGAAGGGGTGAGGAGGGAGGCTGGGAGTTATTAGCACCTCCAAGGGAATAGCACTCACCAAAGCCTATTTTCCACCCATACCAAGGGGCAAACAGTTCCCCCCCCCTTCCCTCCTATTGGCCCTGGCCTGAAGGATACATTTACAACCGGCCTGGGAACTCCCTAAGGACTATTACACTCAGGCGAGTACATCCACCAAAGTACTCATTTCCCTTACAGGCCCAAAACACGTCCATCTGCTCCGGCAGCGGGGACGTCGCAGATGGTCCCATTTAAGGCGCCGCAGCCGGGTCGAGTTACCCGTGGTCGGTCCCTGCCCGTGCCCGCAGCTTAATGGCTTGGGAAGCAGGAGCCACCCAAGGTGTCCCAGCCAGTGGGGATGGCTGGTGGCACCCGGGAGCAGAGGGGACGTCACCTCGTTGTGGGTGTGTTGCCTCACGGCACTGTTTAGTGGGCGCTTCCAAGAGGGGGCTGCTGGGGATGGGTGAGATGGATGGTAAAGGAGTGCAGGGACCCCACTGCAGGAGGAGAGAGAATTATTTCTGTCGTGAAGACCCCCCAGCTGCCCCTCTGCCCCATCTCCTGGGTGCTGGCATGAACCTCGACAGCCTCCCAGCTGCACCTAACATGCCCCCCTCCTAAGAAGGTCCTCTGCCATAGCTGGAGACCCCCAAACCCAGCCACCCCAAATTCACTGTGACCCCTTGAGGGGGGTCACCTCGCCTTGCCAACCTACGCCACGATGGGCATGAGCTACACTTTGGGTCCCTGTGGGAAGGGAGGAGGAGGAGGTACCAGGCAGGACCTTGGGGTCACCCACTGAGCCCTCACCTGCACCAGGTGTCCCCACCTCGGGCTGGGCAGCATGAGGGCAGCGGCTGGAGGTGCCAGGGGTGGCCCACGGTCACGTCTCGTAGGTTCCACGCCCCAGCCACGCTCCCCGCGGGGGATTCCCCGTCTCCGGGGCCTCGGCTGGCCCCGAGCATCTCCTTTCTACGGTCTCTGGCTGCCTCTAGCGGCAAAGGGTCGTCCCTGCGTCGGCGGAGAAAGCGGGGACGGGGACCGGGACAACCGAGATAAAGACAGGAATGGGGATGGGGACCGGGACAACCAAGGATGGGGACAGGGACCAGGACAGATTGGGACAGGGACCGGGACAGCCAGAGATGAGGACAAGAATGGGACAGTCGCACGTATCCCAGGATGCCCCTAAACACCACGGATGGAGCTGGCTCAGTCCCAGCTGGCTCCTGGCCTGCACAGCCCCAGTCTGTAGCAGCATTTTGAAGCTGCTGCCCAAAACGGGGCGTTCGGCTCTGACCTCAGCCTTCCCGACAGGGAGAGGGAACCGAAATCGGGCACAGAAATCCCCGAAGCGAGAAGGAAGTGTTGAAATGCGGCTGAGTTTTGTACAGCCCTGCAGAGCACCCACAGAGCACTCAAAGCTTGGCCAATTGACCAATCCCTCCCCCCCTCCACCAGTGCCCCCGTCCTCCCTCACCTTGCCCGTGGCCCCGTGGGCGACGTACTGGGCTCCCTCCCGCTGAGCGATCTCCACCTGCTTGCGGGCGATGCAGGGCCGTGCCAGCGCCGTGCCCAGCAGGTACCGGTCCTCGTAGAGCGCGTTGGCCTGCACTGCTGGCCAGATGAACTCCTCCACGAACTCCCTGCTGACATCCTCGATGTAAACCTGCGGGCACAGAGAGGGCAGCTAAGGGGAGAACTCGCTCCCCCTCGGGATTTGGGGACAGTGCAGTGAAAGGTCCCTTTGCGTCCCCTTTCCTAGATGCTGCTAAAAGGCTTTGGTGCAAAACCTCTGGAGAAGGGATTTCTCACTGGCCCTGTCCCTCCTGCCAGAGATGGGATATGTGAGACCCCAGGGCTCAGCCCCACACTGGGGAGCAGGGGGAGCTCAAAGCCCCAGAGGGAGGGACCCTGTTACCTTCTTGGCCCCCAGTGCCAGCGCTTTCTTTCGTGCTGCCTCGAAATCTTCCTTCTGCCCAATGTTGGCCTGGAAAGGAAGAAAAAATACCAAGACTGAGTGTGAAAGGAGACCACAAAAACCCAGTGCAAGCCCAGTCTGTCATGGGGCATCATGCAAGGCATAACAGAGCCCATGCTGGCTGGGCTTGAGGCCACCCAGGATGGGCAAGAGGGGGGTTCCCCCCCGAGATGGCCATGCATCCCTCTGCCAAGCCCTGATCTGCTGCCCTCATTAGCAGAGGGTCATTATCTGGCAGGAACAGGCTGTGCCACGCAATCAGTTCAACAGATTAACACCCGCTCTGGGCAATGGTTAACCGGTGAGAGCAGGATTACCACTACAGCCACACATACACCAGGACCCCTGTCACTCACCCAGGTTCCCAGACTGCAGCTCAGCACCCCCTCCACCCCCAACCCCTGGGAAGAGGGTTCCTGTGATAGGGTTTGGCACAGAGCTCACCAGGTAGGCGATAACATCATAGCCTTGCTCCTTCAGCCACACCAGGATGCAGGAGGTGTCGAGGCCCCCGCTGTAGGCGAGGACCACTGTGCCCTTGGACTGAGCCATGCTGCTGACAAAGCAAAGGAAAAGGGGTTCGTGATGCCTTCAGCCCCTGTTGCAGCCATCAGGAAGGATCAGTTGAACCAAGAGCCCTCCTGGGGCTGCAGGGAGCAAAGGGAAGGCTGGGAGCAGAAGGAAAAGCCACAGCACCACGGTCACATCCAGTCTGCAGCTCCCAGCCAGGGAGGACACCCTGCCTGTGCACCAGCCAGTGCACCCAATGGTGGCTGGGCGATGGAAGGAGGCCAGGGCACCCATCAGAGCTGCTTCACTCTTACCTTTTCTCCATGCTGGCAACCCTGGAGCAGCCTGCACCACGCTCTGCAAGCACCCTGCAATGCCAGGGGGCTGAACTCAGGCGCAGGCGCCCGGCCGTGGTGAAGGCACAGCTCAGTGCCTTGCTCGGGCACGACCCAGCACATCTCAGGCCTCTGCAGAGAGCCACCCACCAGCTCAGCCCCAAGTGCCCTCTGGCACTGCTGGGCATGACATGGCTGCAGGGTTGGGGGTTTTGGAACTGTCTCCCAGAGCCCAGCCCAGCCCCGAGTCTAATTAATGCTTATGGAGCTTTTGTCCTAATTATGCTGCCCATGTTTTCTGCCAGCACAAAACACCCACGTGGGGATTCGTTGCCCCTCACCCTCCAGACAAGGATATCAAAGGACCTGAAACAACAGCAGGAGACGGTGGAGGATGCCTGGAGCTCAGGTGGAGGATGGGGTTCCCAGGCAGGAAGGGGCTCTGCAGTCCTGGGGCCAGGCTGTGAATCCCAGGGCCCCAGGAAGAGGCGATGCCAGCTGACCCTTGGCCGGGGGAGGTGGACAGCAGAGCCGGCCAATTCCTGTCCTGAGCAACTTTCACGCTGCTGCTGCTGCCAAGTCAGCACAATCCTGCTCCTGCAGGCAGGGAAGGCGCCCTGCTGGGCCTGCTCCAGGCTGGCGCACCCGGCACCTCTTCCAGAGGGATGTGGTTATGCCGGGCTGTGCCCCAGCACCCACGCTCTGCCAGCGCGGTTTGGAGCCAGCATCCCACGGGGCACGGCTTGGAGCCACCCACGAGCAGGACCTGCCCTGACACTGCCAGGTTCGTGCTGAGGAGCAAAAGGGGTCTGGCAGCCCCATAACCTGCATCTGGCACCCTGAGCCTGCCCGTGCCCGTCGGGCTGCCACGCAGGCAGCACTCAGTGCCCAGGCTTCAGCAACCGGCGTTTCCCTGCTCGTGGGGCCCCTCGGCCGTGCTGAGCTGGGTCCCTGCCCAGGGAGGTTCGGCCGTCCCTCCCTTGCCGGGGCATTTACAGGAAGGCAGTCGCAGTTCCCAGAAGGGTCCAACCCGAGCGGCTCCTTTCGAAACTAATTCCTCCCTTTACCCCCAAACCCATCCCCTCCGTGGCCACCAGCATCGCTGTGGTGGTTGCCAGCCTGACTAAGCAGCTCTGAGAGCGGGCACGCTCGCTCCACGAGTGGCCCAGCAGCGGTTTAGGGAAACGCCTCCAACTTTTGCCTGCTCAGACATGTCCCCTCTGCCTACACAATGCCCGAGGGGCTCGGGGGCACCTTGCCTTGGAGACGCATCCTGCATCTCAGAAAGGGTGTGGGGCCACCAGCATTCCCTGCTCTGGAAACGGGGCCGGTGCCAAGCCCGCCTGCCCAGGAAGGGAGAGCCCTGAAGTTTTGGTGTTAGGTGGCAATAAATCAGAGCAAACAAAGCTCAGTGAAAGGGAACGCGGCGGGACTTTCTCAGCCCTTATTATTATTCTGTAGCAATTTCCGTGTGAGTTGGGGCAGGGTTGGGTTTTTACCGGAGAGAACTCTGGCTGCCCTGCTCCAAAGGAACACTGGGCTTTCGGTTTTAAAAACAAGGACAAAAGAATTATAAAAAAAAGGAGGAGAACAAAAACTTTGAAACTTTGGTAAAGAAAGGAACTGTCTTTGCCAGCTGGGCTGGAAGAACTGCAGGGATGGTGCCTGCGGGCTGGGATGGGGCAGGGAGAAGGGCAGGGGCAGGCAGGAAGGGCAGGAACAGGCTTCCCAGAGTTTCGTGCAGCAGAGGCATGCAGGGATGTGCTCGCTGGTGCTGGGGTTTGTCTCAGCATCGCTCCTCCACCTTGTGCAGGTCCCATCCTGCCCCCCAAAATCCCCAGCGCAGAGCAGGGAGGGCACGAGGTGGTGCCAGCTGAGGTCCCAGCTGCCCTCCCTTGGGGTGAGTGAGGGCACCCTGTTGAGAAACGAGTGTTTAAAGATCACTCATTACCCTCAGAGAAATGGGATACACTTGGAAACCACCCCCACTCTGAACTGAGCTAGGAGGGGATTGACTGCAGCCTGCACAGTGCTGGGAAGGGGCTGGCACCCCACTGCCCTGCTCCAGCACCCAGGGGTGAGAAACACCTGTGGGTGGGTGGAAATGGGACAGACAGGGGTGAGGGGACACATTCCTGGACGCAAACCCCCCCTCTTTCCCTCTCTCCCCCATCCCATGCCTGCACTCACCCACTCCCGGTGTCCAGCTGCCCTCTGTGCTCTGGTTCGGTGCCTGGAGCATCCTCCTCCTCCTCCTCCTCCTTTATAACCGGGCCAGGGCAGGCGGAGCCGCTGCAGGACAGTCCCCCGTGGGCACCGTCCCCGGGAGAGGCTCTGTGCTCCGCCTGCCCACGGGATACCGGGCAGAAGAGGAGGAGGCAGCTGCCCCCAGGCTGGGATGGAGCAGGTGCCCTGTCCCAGCCCCTGTATGGCTGCTCTGGGTGCTGCCTCCTGTGTCCCCCCAGTCCTGACCTCATCAGCAGCCTCCACTTGGGGACCTCAAGGAGTTGGCAAATGGAGGGGTAGACAGGAGCCAGTGCTCTACAATCATCTGGCTTTCCTCCCTGGACCAGCAAGACTTATTTGAACTACTATTGTACTTCTCTGAAGCTTTATCAGAATGAGATGCAGGAGCCTGAGTGACAGGAGGGACAGGACGAACCCACTGCTCGCCCCTGCACGTGCCCAGGGCATCCCAGAGCAGTAGCAGACCTGGCCTTGGGGGACAAGAAAGCCCCATCCCAGAGATTTTTGGGGGAAATCTCAGTGCCCCCACAGAGGTGCAGAAAGAGCGGGCTCCAGTGATGGGACCACAGCAGCCTCACCTGGGTGCACTGCCACCATCCCACACCACGGACTAGGACTGAAACAGTGTTTTGGGAACAGTCCCTATCTTCACTACTTGCAAAGACGCCATATCCTGCTCCTGCTGACCAAGGGACCAGATGCTGGGGCAGGACTGGACCCTCAGGGCCTGGACAATGTCTGGATGTGGCAATGCTGGAGGGGCAATCTCCCTTTTATGGTCCAAGGTCAGGCAGGGAGGTGTCCAAGGCCCCAAAAATTCTGGGTGTCTGCTGGGGCAGCCCCATCCTATATGCTGAAGGAAGCTGCTTTCTTCAGGCACAGGCTAATATTTAGCCACAAAACACCTTTATAAATCAGTAAGCGTGCACAGAAACCAAGTGAATTAAAAAAAAAAAATTTAAAACAAACAAACAAACAAAAAAACCCCAAACCAAAACAACCAACCAACAAATCAACAATTTAAATTTAATACATGCTTAATGCCACAGTGCCCCATGCAACCCCCAGGCTGGGGGATCCCTCCCTGCACCCCTGGCGAGTTCATCCTCCCACCCCACCCACCTGGGAGCTGATCACAGCCAAGGCCATCCAGAGCTGTGTTTGCTCTGGGATTTGGGACCTGATTGCAAGAGGCTGGTGGGATATCTTGTCCCTCCCGGGACCCTGCTGAGTCAGGGATTGTCCGTGGGTGAAGGGAACATGACTGAGGGGCGAGGGGATGTCTGGGAGGGAGGGGAGAGGTGCAAGCTCAGCGCGCCCTGAGCCACGTGCCCCCACCCGTGCGGTGGGGAGGGACAGGAGGAGAAATGACCCTGTGTCCCCTCCTGTCCCTCGGCTGTGTCAGTAGGGGTAGGGAGAGACGGAGATGAGGAGGAGGAAGATGCTGGGTGCCCTCTGCCCGCCCGGGGCCAGCGCCTGCACCTTGAGGCGGTGGGTGCCAGGGTCCCGCAGCGGGCGCAGGGTGGAGAGGATGCCACGGCCCTGCTCGGTGCGGAGGGCGAAGGGGCTGCCGGGCTCCTGCTCCAGCAGCGTGAACACGGGGCGGTGACGCAGGGCGGAGCCTGGGGTGAGGTGCACCACGTCCCGGCGGGCAGCGATGCCGAGGGGCAGGGTGAGCAGCTCGTACCGCAGCGTGGGGGCCCCGGCCGGGCCGCAGAACGGGGCACAGCGACCCACGCACAGCCTGCAGGGCAGATGAGGCAACGTGGGATGTGGTGGGTGACAGGGAGCAGATGGGACACCTGGGTCCATGGTGACACGAGAAGCATGGAATGAACACCCCAAGACCCACAGCACAACTCACCCTGGGCTGGAGCCTCTCCTGTACCCGGCTGGGCATGGCACATCCACACACTGGGCACCTCCACGGGTGTTGAAGCACATCTGGCTCGAGCTACACTGGATTGTGCCCTCTGCACACTCATCCGTGTCTGCAGGGAGAGAGGGAACAAGTCTGAGGGTACTGGGGTGCCCATGGCTGAGGTGGAGGTTCAAACCCTCACTCCCACCCCTTCCCACCCCTTCCCCGGGCTCTCAGACACTGGGGCAGCAGGACAAAAACTCAGGGTCCATGGGGTTCTGAGCAAGGAAACAACCCTCCCATAGAAGGAGAGAGACTTGCAGCCCCAGGAAGATGACACCCAGGGCACTGTGGGGACTGGACATCCCCCCTGGCACCCCCACACTGACCATGGCAGGTCTTCCCATTGGACATCAGCCGATAGCCAGAGGGGCACAGGCAGTGGTAGCTGCCCAGGCTGTTCCTGCACTCGTGCTGGCACTGGTTCGACTGGCACTCGTCGAGGTCTGTAGGGTGAGAAAGGTGAAGGAAAAGCATCAGCCCCCTCTGTTGCCCACTGCCCAGGGGCAGTCTGGCTCTCACCTCCCTTTCCCAGCACAGCCAGGACCACAGGGTGCAAACAAAGTGTGGGGGACAGGGCAGCGACGGGCACAGGAGTTACCCTTTGGAGACAAAGTGGCCTCTGAACAATCTGCAAACACCTTTCCCTGACACACACACTCACCAGCACAGGTGCCATTCCTCTTGACATAGCCCGTAGGGCAGGGGGGGCCCCGGGCACCCACCCCTGCATCCTTGGCCACGCGGCGCAGGGCGAGCTGGGTGTAGAAGGACCGTCCCCGTGGGCGACTGCTCGGCCCCAGCCAGCGCCGAGGGGTGTCCCGGGACGTGCTGCCCGCTGTGTCCCCTCCATCTGTCCCTGCTGTGCCACACTGTCCTCCCGGCAGCAGGGTCCTGCCAGGGGGGCACAGGCACTCATAGGAGCCCCGCAGGTTGCGACACTCGAAGACACACGGTGGGGGAAACTGCAGGCACTCATTGATGTCTGGAAGAGGAAAGAAACGAGGAGCTGCAGCTGGATGGGGAAACTGAGGCTGTAGCAGGGCAGGGGGGTGACCACAGCCCTGTGGCCAAGTACATGTACCCTGAAAGCCCAGCTCGTACCCAGGCAGGGCCAGCCAAGGCCCAGGGTGCGGTAGCCAGCAGGGCAGGCACAGCGGTAGCTCCCTGCAGTGTTCTGGCAGAGCTGGTTGTAGCGGCAGGCGTGGGACCCCTCTGAGCATTCATCGACATCTGGGCAGCAGAGAGAGGACAGGGTTGGGGGGACGGAAAAGTGGCACCAGGTGTCCTTCACCATCCTCATGCCCACCTCGGGAAGGGTCCATACCAATGCAGTAGAGCTGCCCAGGGTCCAGGATGAATCCCAGTGGGCACTGGTCTCCATCAGCCCCTGGGATTGAGCAAAGAGAGGGAGAAGGGACATGGTGCTTGCACCCTCACAGACACCCAAGGATCCTGGTGTCTCCATCCCCACCCTTGGGACTCCCCTCATTACCTGCATCGAGCGAGGCACGGACCTGGAAGCGCAGCTGCTCTGTGGCCGGGTCATAGGAGGCTGTGATGGCTCTGGCCCGCAGGTGCTGCACCCGGGGGGGCTGTGGGCCCACAGCGGGGTCGTACACGATGGTGTGATTGCAGCGGGCACGGAGGATGTGCCCATCCCGCAGGAAGCTCTGCACTGAGCCCCCAGAGAGCTGCCCTGTGCCCGTCTGCACGTAACGCTCGCTGAAGTCCTGGGGAGGGGCAGGGAGAGGGGTCAGGCCATGGACCCTCCCCGTGCTCCCAGCACGGGAGTCACAGCCCCACAGGGAGAACGGGCAGCACCAGCACCTGCAGCAGCACCGCGGCCTCGCCGAGGCTCTCCGGCACGGAGCCGCTGATCACACTGTCCAGCCGCAGAGCACCAGTGGCATCCACGCCCCGGGCGAGGTGGGTGACCCGCAGCAGCTCCCCTGCCAGGGGGGAGCGGTGAGCAGCAGCCCACGGCACCCCCAAACACAGCTCCACCTCTGGCTGAGGAGCTCAGCCTGGAGATGGTGCTTGGGGAGATGGAATCTGAGCTCCCCCAGGAGCTGACCAGGCTCCCCCCTGCCTGGCACTGCTGGAATCCCTAACCTGTGGCAAACTCCAGTTGTGACTCGTGCTGGAAGGTGCCCTGGGTGAGCAGGAACCCACTTCGGGTTGCCCCGCCAGCGTGTGCCAAGGACCAGTAAATGGGGGCGATGATGGTGACCAGCACCCGCATCAGTGGTCCTGGAGATGGGAGAGAAAACATGTCACCAGGGAGCCAGCACTCTCCTAAGGGGGCACCCAGCCTGCCCCGCTCCTCCATGCCCACAGGGCACACATGTGGATGCTGCTTTTGGTGGAAAAAGGAAATAAAAATCTTTCCCCCAAATTTTACACCTGACACAGGTCAGAACCCTCCCAAGGCTGAGGGCAGAGGTGACCACTCACCTACAGTGGGTGGGATGCTCCCGATGCTGCTCTGGATGGTGGTGGTGCCAGACTGTGGGTCATCCAGCATGCTGGCATCGATGGGGGAGACACCAAGCTTGTGGGCGTTGATCACACCAACCAGGCGGCCCCGTACTTGGTGCAGCTCCCCTAGGGCAAAAGAGATGGGGTCAGGCAGCAGCACTGGGGCTGTGCTCCCATGGGATAGCAGGGTGCTTCCCTGACTCTCCTCTCACTCATTTCCTTGTCAAGAAAACTATGTTTTCTGGAGGTGAAAGCAGGAGCAAGGCACGCAGTGTCCCTGCATGACTGCAAGCACAGTCCCCAGAGACCTCCTGGCTCCGAGCAGTTGACAAGGGATGCTGTGAGTGTGGCCCTGTGCCTCATCACACCAACACACACTGACATCCCCAAACCCTGCTCTGTATCTAAACGTCGTGGTCCTGGCAGTGGCCCCAAGCTTTTATTTGCTTCTCCAGCGTGCCTGGCAGCGAAATGCCAGCAGCCACGCAGGGGCACGCAGGGCAGCTGGACTTTCCTCTATCCAGCCAGGCTCTCTGCTCCTGAGGGGCAGCAGGAGAGGATGTGCCTGTGCATTTAGAGAGCCCCTGGGAGATGGGAATTTAATCACGGGCAGCAAGTGCAGGAAAGCTGAGGAGAGGCGAGTGTGGGTTGGCACACGGTTGCTGCTGGGGCGAGGGTCTGTTTGGGCTCAGACCTTCAGCTGAGCAGTGGAAGAGAGGAGAGGGCAAACCAGAGCATGAACCACAGGGTTCAGAGCAAGCAAGAAAAGGCAACATCTCTCCAAAGCACCACGCTGGAGGTCTTACTCCAGGGTGTAACAGTGCTGTGGGCAGCCCCAGCCCCCTGACCCAGCCAGAAGCCCAGGGCAGACACTCACCTTGGACATGCAGGGAGCCGTGGGCGATGGCAGAACCCAGGGCATTGCGAGCGAGGCAGGAGTATCTGCCAGCATCATGGTGGGCCACAGCGGGCAGGAACAGGGTGGCATTGGGCAGCACACGGGCATGGGGACCCTCAGGAAGCGGCTCCCCATCCCGCTGCCACTCCACGGAGGGGGTGGGCTCCCCTGACACGACGCAGTGCAGCAGCACCCCCTGCCCAGCGTGGGCTGTCACCGCTCCTGGTGTCACTGCCACCACGGGGGCGCCTGGGCAAGGAAAGGGATGCAGGCAGTGCCGCAGCATTCCAGCAGTTCTGGGACCGCTCCCCAGGGATGAGGGATGGTTGTGGGGGTGAGGGGCGGCACGGTTTGCAGTCCCTTAAAAAGAGGGTGCAGGGGTGGGTAGCACTCACTCTGCAGGACCAGGGTGACAACCTTTGCTGCTGTGCCCGCACCATTCTCCGCCACACACCGGTAGTGCCCTGCATCAGTGCTCTAGCAGGACCAACAACATTAGCACAGTGCCATGAAAGCTCCCCAAAATGCACCATCACTCTGAAGGCCCCACTCACCCCCACAGCGTGGATGGCCAGGGAGCCGTTCTGCAGCTGGCGCAGGCGCCCACCGGCCACCACCGGCACCCCGTCCTTGCTCCAGCGGATGAGGGGCTCAGGGTGACCCTGAGCATCGCAGTCCAGGAGGGCATCACCTCCTGGGTGCTCCACCTGGTACGTGCTGGGATCCCCCTGTATGATGGGTGCCTCTGGGAAAGGGAGAGAGGGGTGGCAGAGGAGGGGGCTGGCCGGGCACCCCAGTTTCCCTGCCAGCACCTACCTCTGACGGAGACAAAGGCGGTGGCCCTGACGGCACCGGCGCTGTTCTCGGCGTGGCACACGTAGGTCCCGCTGTCAGCACGGGTGGCTGCCTCCCGTTGCAGGATGCTCCTGCCACTCTGCCCCGACACACCATCTGCAGGGTGCAAACCCCCCCAAAAACTGTAGTAACCAACAGGTTACAACCCCACACAGCCAGACACGCTGGCAACCCAGGGACCCTGAAAGGTGGAACAAGGACTAGGATGGCACCAGGATCACACCCTCCCCCAAGCTCAGCACCCTCTGCCCAGGTACCAGTGATGAGCTGCCCGTTGGCCGTCCAGGAGAGGCGGGGCTGGGGGCTGCCCACGGCGGCACACGCCAGGTCCAGCCTCTCGCCCCAGTTCAGGGTGATGTCTGTGGGCAGGAGGGTGAAGGTGGGCAGGGTGTGGATGAAGAGGGAGAGCTGTCGGACTGCCCTCCCGGCCGAGTTCACTGCAACGCAGGAGTAGCTCCCAGCATCCCCTTCCTGCACAGGGAAAGAGGAGAATGAGAGGGGTCAGCTTAACTGAGGTCCAGCTGCAGCCCTGAGTCACTGAGCTACCGCTCTGCTAGTTGTTGTGCATCTAAAAAGTGACAGCTTGGCCACAGCCACTTCTTCCAGACCACCTTAGGAAACCCACACTACCCTAACTCTCCACCCTCTGTGTCAAAGGACTGCACAGGGCTCGCTCTATGAAATATATTTTGGTAGATATATCCAGCAGCAAAAGACACTCGTTCCTCAGCTCTCTGACTTGACAGCTGGCTCAGTGGCAGGAGGGGAGGGTACTCACCTGGACATCCCGGAGCAGCAGCTCCCCGGAGGGCAGCACAGTGGCCTTCCCCCCACCACCCCTCACCAGGGCTCCCTCCCGGCTCCAGGACACGCGAGGCTCGGGGACACCACGGGCAGCACAGGGCAGCAGCACCTCCAGCCCCTCCAGGACAACCAGCTCCGGCGGGCCGGCCGCGATGACGGGGGGCACTGGATGGGGCAGGAGGGAAGGGACTCGCTCACACCTCAGCAGCCACATTTTGGTATGAGGTGCTGGGGAAGGGGCTGAGCAGAGCAGGGGACAAGCACTGGGGCCCCAATCGCTGCCGCACCTTGCACAATCAGCCTGGTCCTCCCCGCAGCGGTGCCCGAGGGGTTGCGAGCCACGCACAGGTAGGTGCCCGCATCCTCTGGGGCTGCTCGGAGGAGACGCAGCCGCCCATTGGGGAGCACCTTCAGGCCAGGTCCTGAGGGGAAGGGAAGAAATGAAGGGCAGGATAGGGACTGCTTCCCCCACAGAAGTGCATCTTCCCAGGGAGCCTCTGTGGAAAAAGCTCCAGCAGCCAGCACATCCACCTGTGGGCAGCAGCCGGGAGAACCCACGCACAGTGACACCCCCTCACCCTGCTAGAATGCCTACAACCCCCTGGCACCCAAATCTTCCCCCAGGAAAAGGCTGTGTGGGCTCTGCTGTCCTCCAGCAGGCTCCTGCTCACCTCCAGCGATGCCAACACCATCCTTCTGCCAGGTGACCTCCGGCCGGGGGACGCCCGTGGCCTCACAGGACAGCACCATGCTGGTGTTGACCATCACCATCACCATGCCGGGCAGGGGCTTCAAAGTAGGGGGCTCTGCAAGTAGTAGGGAAATGCTGCCCATCAGGGCTACCCTGAACAGAGGGCGCAGGAGCCCCAGAAGGGGGACCCCCGGAGCTGTGCTTACCGTGCACCGTCAGCCAGAGGTGCTTTCGGGCCGTGCCGGCAGCGCTGCGGGCCGTGCAGGTGTAGCGGCCGGTGTGTGCAGGCAGCGCCTGCCTGATCTCCAGGGCTCCTGGAAGACAGTGGGCAGAGGGGAGGCAGCGGGAGGGCTGGCAGGGACCCGCTGTCCCGCTGTGCCCGTGCTGCCCTGTGCATGTACCTCTGGGTAGGACGCGGTAGCCCCCTCCTCTGCTGCCCAGCTGAGCCCCGTCCTTGCTCCACGACACCGTGGGCGGGGGCACACCAAAGGCATAGCAGGTGAGGACCACAGGGGACAGCCGGGTGACAACCACATCCGTGAGGTCATCAGCGATGGTGGGGGGCACTGGAGAGGAGAGGGAGGGAGGTGAGCAGGGATGCATGGCAATGCTGAAGGGGATTCTGTCCCTGCACACGTGGATTCAGCTATTTCCCCTCTTGCCTGCCCTTGTGCCCAGTCCTCGAGAGGGAATCCAACCGTGGGGGGGCTGAAGCACACCCACATCACACCCAAGGAAGTGACAAATCCTGGGAAAGCCACTCTCAGCAAGACCCCAGCCCTCAGAACTCACCGTGGACAGACACGAGGAAGACCTTGCGTGCCTCTCCGGCAGCGTTGGTGGCGATGCACTCGAACCTCCCCCCATCCCGGGGACCAGGGCTGGTGATGAGCAGAGATCCTGAGGACTGCAAACTGCGCAGGCAGAGCACACAGAGTCACCCCGTCCCACGGGCAGCAGTGGGAGGGGGTAAAACCCACCTTACAGAGGTGGGCGAGGTGCCCGGTGCTGAGGGTACCTGTAGGTGCCAGGTGGAAGGTGTGGGTTCAGGGGGCGACCGTCCTTCTCCCACCTGATGTGGGGCTCGGGGGACCCCCAGGTGTCACAGCCCAGCGTGGTCGGTTGCTGAGCCAGCAGGGTGAGGTTGGAGGGCCCGGGGGCGATGGCAGGAGGGACTGGGGGAGGGCATTGTGGTGATGAGCAGAGGACAGCAGCACATCATTGCACTGATGAGAGCAGCCCAGCAGTGGTGGGTTGCAAAGGGGCAAGCTTAGGAAGGATCCATCTGGCTCTCCTGCTTACCCAGGACATGGAGGTTCAGGCCTCGGCGGTCAGAGCCGGCAGGGCTGGATGCCATGCAGAGGTAATAGCCTGAATCTTGGACCTGGACGGGGTTGATTTGCAGGGAACCTCCTGGCAGGAGCTGCAGCCTGGGGAGGGAGAGCAAGGAAGCTCTGCATGGCTGGGCTGCATCCCACAGCGAGCAGCTGATGGGAAGGTGACAAGTGCCACTGCAGTCATATGCAGCTCGTGCCCAGTGAGCTGGAGTGGGGACAGAGCACAGCTCTTCACAGCGTGACAGTGCTGCCTCTGCTCCAGGCACACCAAATCATCTACTGATGTGGAGGGTGGCAGTAGCTGAGTGCCAGCTCTTGGTGTCACCAACGTGCAGAGCCTCATACCTGTCACTCTCAGGAAAGGGCAGGAGCTGGCCGTCCTTCCACCATGTCACCCGGGGCACGGGCCACCCCTCTGCCTGGCACAGCAGCACAGCTGAGCTGTTCAGCAGTGCTCTCACCTCCTCTGGACCTGGCTGGATCTCTGGGGCCACTGTGGCAGCACCACAGAAAGTGGGGGACAGGGCTCAGGGATGGAGGATGCCAGCCCAGAGCAGCACTGCAGGCTGGGCATAGTCCAGCCCCATCATCCTACCATGAGATACCCCATAATATCCCACTTCCCTGATTAAACAGGGAAGGAGCTGGCACTCAGGGCCAGCCAAGGCCAGTGGAAGGGAAGCACTCACCATGGACCTGCACTCGGAGGCGCAGGCTGGTATCCCCCAGGGCGTTGGTGGCCCTGCAGCTGTACTCCCCCCCATCCACTGCCCGCACAGCCTGGATCTGCAGGAAGCGTCCCTCGGCCAGGACCCGCCTGTGGGAATCCTCCTAAACCCCCAGGAGCTCCTATCAGCAGCATTCCCTGCATCAGCCCCTGCCAGCCCCTCAGAGCCGGTGCAGGTGCATCCCCCAGTCCCTGCCCGTGCACCACCCCTGGTCCCGTCACAGGTACCTGCACTGGGGAGCCCTCCCGGTGCCACTCCATGTGGGGGGGCGGCTCAGCATCCTCTGGGCACTCCAGGATGAGCTGCCCCCCTGCCACAGCCGTCATGACAGGGATCTCCCCAACGCTCTCGATGCTGGGTGGTGCTGTGGGACACACATCAGGGAGTCAGAGGGTGTGCAATGTGTGTTGGACACCCCCATGCTTGTCCCCATAAGCCATGCCTAGGCCTCCACTCTGCAGGACCATCACCCTGTGCTCCAGACCCTTCTTTGGAGGTTTTTACAGCCCCCACCAACCCCAAAGAGGAACGCAGGGATGCTCCAACTTTCTGGTCCCCCATCCTGCAGCACCCTCCCCACAGCACTGCTGGGGCCACACTACCTTGGATGCTGAGGTGGAAGCTCCTGCTGTCCTCCCCAGCAGGGCTGGTGGCCAGGCAGGTGTACAAGCCAGAGTCAGCCACCTATACAGCCAGGAGAGGGAAAAATTGAGGCACAAAAGAAAATGCAGGTGGGGAGAAGAAAGAGGAGCTCCTACCTCAGAGCTCTCCACACGGAGGGTGCTCTCATTCCCTGAAACGAGCCAGGGCCCTGCCAGCAGCTGTCCATCCTTCTCCCAGGTGACAGTGGGCATGGGGACACCCGTCACCACACATGTCAGCTCCAGTGGGGTGCCCACGGCGATGGACATCTCAGTGGGGTGGGATGCAGCCTCGACACGGGGTGGCTCTGCAAGGAACATGGCAAGGCAGGAGGACTCATCCCCTCATTGCCCCCCAAAAATTGGCTAAGGTGCCCTTCCCAAGTCCCAGGGGAATGACACACACCCATCACCAGGAGGTGGAAGGCTTTGCTGGCCTCTCCCACCTCATTCACCACCAGGCAGGAGTACACCCCTGTGTCAGATGGCCCCACGGCTGCCAGGTTCAGCCGTGGGCCACCAGCATCTCTGTGCTGCCCCAGGGGCTCTCCATCCTTCAGCCAGGTCACTGCTGGTGTTGGGGACCCAGTGGCTTCGCAGGTGAAAGTGACATCAGAGCCCTCAGCCACCATCTGCTCCTCTCTGCCCTCAGGGTTCTTCAGGACAGGGGGCACTGGGGAAGGAAGGATTTCTTTTTAAAGTTGGATCCTCAGGCACTGGGTTTGGTAGTTCCCTGGTGTCCAATGAGCACACAAAGGTTGCTCAGCCTTCCTTCAGGATACTCTGGGACTGCTTTCAGGCTGGTCCTGCCTTGCTTCATCCCCTCCAAGCCCACGCCAGCAGCCAAGGGATGGCTCAGGACCCTGTTTGGGAACAGGGAACCCTAACCCTAATCCTAATGCACATGCACAACATGTGCTCTGCCAGCAAAACCAGCGCCTGGGTGCCCCCCACTCTCCTCTCCCCAAGCCCCGCCTATCCCATACCCTGTATCTCCAGGAGGAAGCTGCGATCGGCCACCCCTGCCCGGCTGGAGACGACGCACGTGTAGAGCCCAGCATCGGAGACCTGTGCCTGGAAGATCCTAGTCCAGGGAGTGGGGCACAGGGGTGGGGAGGAGACATCAGCTCGGGGTGACCCCCTGCTCCCCAGGGTCTCCGGGCTGACGCTCAGCCACCTCGGGGTGCAGCCGTGGCCATCCCCGCACGACAACCTGGGTACCAGCCCCAAAGCCTGCGGCTGAGCATCACTCCAGGGTCACTTCTCACCGGAGGACGTGCCCGGCCGAGAGCAGGGTGACGCGAGGGGACAGGCGGAGGGGCAGCCCGTCCTTCAGCCAGCTCACGTGCAGCGGAGGGGACCCCCGTGCCCAGCACTCCAGCGTGAGCACCGCGGACAGGACTCCTCGCACCACCTCCGGGTCACCGGCACCTCTCTCGATGGTGGGAGGGACTGGGGGAGGGGGGGACAGAGGGGATGATGGGGCTGTCGGGGGCGGGTCGCCCTGGTAGTGCCCCGCAGATCCCGGCCCCGCTCACCCAGCACGCTCAGGGTGTGCAGCCGCGTGTCCTCGCCCGCGCTGTTCCGGGCCAGGCACGTGTACGCCCCGGAGTCGGCGGTTTGGAGACCCTCCAGGAGCAGGGAGCTGCCATCCGGGGACATCCTGTGTGGGAAGGACAGGGAAGTGACCTGTGTGCCCATCCCTAGCGTGCCCACGGGGCAGAGGTGCTCTGTGCTTGGTTGCAAGCCCAGGGATCAACTGGGACCGTGCCAGGGTGACACAATGACCATCCTGGACACCCACGATGGTGTTGTCTCAGCAGCTCCCAGCAAAGAGCTGGCACGAGCGTGTCCCAGACCAAACAATGGGAAGAAGCAACAGAGCTCAGCCTGCCTTGCATGGCAATTTTGCACCTGGGGAAACTGAGGCACAGCGGTCACCCCTCGGGTGATTCCCCCACCCAGACTCACCGAGCACGTGAGGGGGGCTGCAGCTCCAGGGGTTGCCCATCCTTCAGCCAGGAGATCTGGGGGGTGGGCTGCCCCTGAGCCCGGCACTCCAGCCTCACCCTGCCGCCCTCCAGCACACTGTGCTCACTGGGGACCCCTGCACTGGTGATCTGGGGGGCCACTGCACCGAGAAGAGAGGGATGCTGAGGGAGAGGAGGGGGAGGAAGGCTCCCCGCCGAAGGAGAGCCCACAGGGACCTGGTTGCCTCAGGGAAGCCCTACCTCGCACCAGCACCACGAAGTCCTTGCGTGTCTCGGCCCCTGGACCCCGTGCCAGGCAGGTGTATCGGCCCTGGTGGAAGGGCTGGAGGGGGCTGAGCTGGAGCTGGGCCCCCCCAGACACCAGGCCCTGCTCTGGGCTGCTCTCTGCAAGGACACAGGGTGAAGAAGACTGAGCAGTGCTCCTCCACTGAGCCCTCCCCAAGCTCATTGTCGTGCTACCCCCTTCTCACCCCTGGGACCCAGGTTTGGGGACACTGTTAAAGCACAGCAGAGACTTTGCAATGAGCGCTGCTGGTACTTTACAGGAGAAAAGAGCCACTGGTTTTGGGGCAAACCCCTGTCCCAGCAGGTACCCCAAGGGCTGGTACCCAGAGAACTCACACCCACATCCCCCTCCATCAAGTTTCATACCCTCACCTCATTTCTTCAAGCCTCAGGAATGAATCTGAGGTCTCTTAAAAGCACTCAGGGAAAACAACTCTTTCATACTCTGCCCCCTCCCTGTGAGCTCCTGAGGGTCTCTTTCAGCAGGGTTGGAAGTGGGGAAATTGAGGCAGGACTCCTTCAGGGGAACAGGCTGGGGATTGCAGCCCAGCACTGTGTCCCCTGCACACATACCCAGAGGGCTCCCATCCTTCAGCCAGGTGACAGTGGGCACGGCCACCCCGGGGACTTGGCAGGTCAGGACAAGGGGGGTCCCTATGTCAGCTTCGAGTGTCTCCTGCTGCAGGTCCTGGATGCCTGGGGGCTCTGAGACAGAGGAGCAGGGATGGGGGTGTGAGCAGGAATGCTCAGACCCTGAGAGGCAGAGCTCCTAGCTGAGCCCTCACACTCACCATGGACGTTGAGGATGAAACGCTTCTCATCCTGGCCGGCCACGTTCAGTGCCACACACGTGTACGTGCCTGAGCTGGAAAGCTGCAGGTGATGGAGCTGCAGCACCCGTGAGTCTGAAAGAAGTCAAAAGCAGGGAGTCAGGTCAGGCTGGAGCAGGACCACCCCACCAGCAAACTGACAGGGCCCCCAGCAGCTGGCCAAGCTCCATGTAAGAGGAGTCTGGCCATCAAAATCTTTCTTTGAGGTCTGAGGCCTCACTGTGCACAGAAGGAAAGGGAGCTGAGCTCCTGTGGGGTGGCAGCACAGAATTTTCGGGATGCAGCCTTTGGAGCCCAGAGGAGATGATTTGGCAGCACGTGCTCACCATGTGGTACAGCCAAAATCTGAGCTTGAGTCCCATGGGCAGCACCCATAAAGGGGGGTGAGGGAAGTTAGAGCCAAAGGCTGTGCCAAGCTCCAGAGCACAGACTATCAACCCTGCTCATCCCACCGTACCTGGAGTGATGGTAACCCCCTCACTGAGCTGCAGGATGTGGCCGTCCTTGTACCAGGCGATCTCAGCAGCCGGGTGGGGTCGGACATCGCACACCAGTGAGACGCTGCCATTGACGATGCCATCGATGCTTTCAGGGTTTGTGTCCACGATCCAGGGAGTTTCTGCTCCAAAGCATCCCAAAAGACAGTGCCATAGGGGAACCATCACCACAGAGGCTGAGTTCTCCCCAGGAGGAAACATGCACAGAGCATCTCTCGCCTGCTCGGAGCATGTGGCACCTCGACCTCCTTGCACAGGGTGAGTGTGACAAGCATTAGAGGACAGAGGCAGCCATGCAGTTCCAGAGCCACGGGAGACTCCAGCAGGTGGAGGAGGAGAAGGAGGAGCCAGAAGGGGGTAAATCAGTGACCCACAGAAGGTGAGAAGCCTTACCCTGCACAGTGAGGGCAAAGTGCTTCTCAGCGGACCCAGCCGGGTTCTCAGCCACACACGTGTATCTGCCAGTGTCACCCGCCTCCACTGCAACCACCTGCAAAGGGGGAGCAGGGCCACACTGAGGGCTGCCCCGAGCCAGGGAGCTACTGGGGCTCCCATGGGAACCAAGCTCCTGGTGAGACCAGGGCAGCCTCCTCTAGGAGGAAAGAGTGCCCCATCCTCTCACACGTCCCTCCCTGGCACAGCCACCTGCCCAAGGGGACACTGACCTGAAGGACTGTGCCACCCTCCAGGATCCGGTGCCGTGGGCCAGTCACAATGGGGACATCATCCCAGAGCCAGGACACTGCGGGCTCCGGGTGCCCGGTGGCTTCACACTTGAAGTGGACGGTGCTGTTGACGGTGGCCATCACCTCCTCAGGCAGGTCCTCTGTGCCACCCCGGATGGCCGGGGCAGCTGGAAGCAGGCGGTTATGGGGCTGCCGTGTGCCTCCAGCCGATATCCCCCCGGCCCTGTACTCACTCAGCACCTCCAGCTCGTAGTGCAGGCGGTCCCGTCCCGCGGCGTTGGCCGCCTCGCAGGTGTATCTGCCCGCGTCCTCCTCCCGCACCGCCGGCAGCTGCAGCACCCGGCCCCCTGCAGCACAGCCACAGGGACACATCTGTGGGCTGTCCCCTCCAACCTCTCCATGCACACACCCCTAATGCAGCCTCAGTGACCCCACAGGTGCTGTGCACGCTGGCGGGAGCAAGGGGACAAGATCCAACCTCTGCACTCACAGCTGCTGCAGGACTACCCCCCAAACCCCACAGTGGGGGTTTATGCTCATTACCTAACAGCATCAGCACCCCTGGGCCGGGGGAGAGGGGCTCCCCGTCCTTGTACCAGGTGAGCTGGGGGGTTGGGGTGGCACTGGTGTCGCAGTAGAGCGCGGTGGGCTGGTCAAGGACAGCCTGCCGGTGCTCTGTCACCTCCCCATCCTGGTCTTCCTCCCGGTAGAAGATCTCGAGAGCTTCTTGGGGGCTTGTTTGCTGCTGGAAGAGCGGGGGCACTGCAGGGACAGGCTGTGGTCAGCTGTGGGGAACAGGGACTCACACCCCCAGGTGCAATCGCAGCACCTTCCCAGGCCTGACTAGGGCCAAGGAGATGTTGTTTTCCATCAGGCATAAACTGTTTTCCTGCTCATCCTGCTCTGCTCCCACACAGAACCCCATCAAGGACCCCTCCTCTTGCTGAGACACCCACTGCTCTGGGTGTAGGGTCTCCACCCAGGGCTCACCTTGGACATGCACAATGAAGTCCCTGTCGTCTTCACCCACAGCGTTGGTGGCCACACAGGTGTAGTGCCCCGAATCTGAGGCACTGGCTGGTTTGATCTGAAGGACCTGCCCCTCACTGAGGATCTGGAGGTGTCCAGTGCTTTCCAGGAGCTACATGGAGATCCCAGACCCAGGGCAGGGAAGAAACAGAAGGGCAGGAGGAGAATTAGACACCCAGGAGCAGGACAGAACCCATACAGCTATATAAAGGGTAACTTCCCATTCCATCCACCTGGGACAGTCCCCAAACCCAGCAGCTCCTCCTTGGTCACAGCTGGGACCTCACCTGCTTGTCCTTGTACCACCGGATGGTTGGCTCAGGCACAGCCCAGGTCTCACACTCCAGCATCACCGTGCTGTTGACCTTGGTTTTCACCTCTTTCACGGCAAACTCCCCCAAAGGGTCATCTCTGGCAATCCAAGGAGGAACTAGTGGGGAGATGCAACAGAGCTGGGATGAGAGAAGAGCCCCCCCAGGGTGCCCTTGCTCTGCCCTGATCAGTGACAGGCAGCACCTCAGGGCGGTGCTGACACCCAGAGATGGACCCTTGGTAAGTGATGTCCCTCAGGTGTCTGTACTGGGACCAGGGAGAGGAAGGGAGAGGGATAAGCACTGGCTTGGTTACAGTAGTGGGGTCACAGCTAGAATTAGGAAGGCCATGGAGAGCTCCCGCACCCAGGACCTTCACGTCGTAGTTCTTCACGGCCTCCCCATCCTCGCTGGCCACGATGCAGCTGTACGTGCCCGCGTCCTCCTCCTGGGCGTTCAGGATCTGCAGCCCGTGGCCACCTGGGCAGAGGAGGTCTCCTGAGAGGGTCACTGCTCACAGTCACAGCTGTCTATCCCCAGTGCAGCACCTGAAGGCATCTCAAGGGACCTACTGACCACCCGCCAGCCTGGCTCGAGGGGGTCTGGTGCCAGGCTTATAAAAACCAGCACTGAGGAGGCTCTAGCTGATACCAGAGGATGCAGCACAGGGAAGAGCAGCATCTACCTGATGGGTCTGAGCCCCTTGGGTCCTGTAGGATGATGACTCACCATCCCACTGCCCTGGACCAAAGCCAGACCAAGAAAAGGCCCTGCTCCCACTTCCCCAGACATGCAGCAAGGGGTTACCACAGTCGTGCAAAGCCAGTGGGACACCAGCACAGTACCAGGGAGCAGGAGGACATTCCTTGATGCTTTGAGAGGAACCTCGTCCTTGAGCCAGGTGATGTTGGGAGATGGGTATGGCAGAGCCTCGCAGACCAGGGAGATGGGGTTGTTGATGATCACTGTGACTTCTTCTGCAGCAGCATCGTGGGCATCTTGAGCTAAGGTAGGAGTGGCTGCAGAGACAGGTGTGTGTGACAGATCAGCATTAGCACACACTCAGGCTTCTCAGTGCTTCATCCCCCCCACCAGAGAGCATGGTCCAAGTTCAGGGAGTTGTACTTGGTCACAGCAAGTGCCAGCTTCAGATTCTGCCTTGTCCTGCTGCCCTCCAAAAACATGGGGGACACAGAAGACACATTCCCCCTTTCCACAAGCCACCAACAGAGATGGATCCTGCACTAGGTGGACACTTTAGTTCCCTCAAGAGATCTCACAGGGGCTTTGGGACAGGTCTAGGACCTCATGCCAAGCTGCTGGCTGCAGGACCAAGGGATCCTCACCACCCACCTGGGGCAGGCCATTAAAACCCTCTGAGTCTGCTCACACCTGAGGGTTCTGCCTCCATCCAAAGAGATCTCATACCCAAAACATCCAGCAGGTAGTGCTTGGTCTGGTTTGCCACAGGATTGGAGGCCACGCAGGAGTAGCGGCCGGCGTGAGCCAGGGAGGCCCGGGGGATGTGGAGCACGGAGCCGTCGGGGGACATGGAGAAGGTGTCTCCACTGGGAAGAGGGTGGTTGTCTTTCAGCCAGGTGATCTTAGGTTGTGGGTTTCCTGTGTGGGGTGGAAAGCAGGTTTTGGCCTTGGTGTAAAGCTTTTCCATGTGTGAGCACACCCTGACCAGGGTCACTGCACTAGAGCTTTTCTGGAAAGCAGGGACATCAGCCCAAATCAAAATTATCATGATCTGGATCAGGTTTTTAGAGGCAGCTGGATGAGCCAGCAAGAAGAAAGAGAACTGTCCTGAGTGGGAGGTGATTAATTATTCCTGTCACTAAAGGAAGAACCAGATGAGAGGAATTTTAGTGCCATTTGGGAAAGATTGGAGCTTACATTGTGGAACAAGCTCCTCACGTGGGCGTCCCCACCCTAGTGCTTCCCGGAAAGCCCAACTGCAAAGCCAGGAACTGTCCCAAAAAACCCTCTTCAGACAATTTCTTGCGTCTTTGACTGGAGTCATCTGTTTGTTCCGCATCCCAAAGGGAAATTCAGGTCTGTTCCTGAGCCCCATCTCCCACCTGCTCATGCCACCTCCCCTCCCTGCTTGATGCTCACCTGTGGCCAGGCAGGACCAGGTGACAGGGTGACCCTCAGGCATTTGGATTGTCTCTTCTTCACCTGCACTCTCGATGTGGGGAGGAACTGGGAACACAAGCCACCAGGGATCTCAGCAGCTGGCCAGCATCGCTGAGCCTCTGAGCTCACATCCTCAGGCACAAAGGGCTCAAGCGTGTCCAGCATGTCCAGTCGTAACTCATGCCTGTTCCTGCAAGGGTGGAGCTCTCAAATCCCACCAGGAATCCTGCAGCAGACAGAAGACCCCTCCTTACCCAGGACCTCCACGTAGAAATGTCTCCTGGCCTCCCCAGCTATGTTACTGGCCAGGCAGGAATAGTGGCCACCATCCTGTGCTCCTGCATGGGTGAGCCTCAGCAGCCAGCCCCCTGGAAGCACAGAGTACAGAGGCCTAAGGGCCCTGATCCAGGCACCAGCACATCCCAGCAGTGCTCCTGTGGGGCTGGAGCTCCACTATGAGTTTAAACTCATCAGTGTTGGGGCAAAAGCACTTCCAGAAGCACTCATCTCTCACAGCATCCAGACCCCTGACCTGAAAGCACATGCATGTGCTCGCTGGGGGTGACAGGAGAGCCATCCCAGAACCAGGTGACTGTGGGCTGGGGAACACCAGTGGCCTCACAAGTCAGTGTCAGGGATTCTTGCAGGGAGATGGTGACATTGGTTGCCAATCCTGATCCTTGAATGAACTCTGGAGGAACTGGGGATGCAGAAAGGAGGGACATCCTTTAGCAAAGCACACAAGACATCAGAGAAAGTAAAGTGAGTGAATTTGGCTTTTCCCCACCTTCCTGGTTTGTAGAGTTTGAGGACACAAACCCAGAAGGACCATTAGCATCAACTGGAGTTGTTGGCTTTGAAGGTGTTTTGGGACAGTTGACCCACAGCAAGAATGTGCCACTTACCTGCACACCTGAGCCCAGGCTTACAGTGTGACACCAAGTTGGCCACATGTCCTGAGCCACTTCAGGCCTTTTATAGCTCAAGTTCAGCTCACGGGGTTTCTCAGTTCCTTGGGTAGGACTTTCTAAAGAGTGGGATGATTTGCTGTGTTGATTCTGGAAAGAAACTCCTGCCTAAAGGACCCGGTTCTACACCTATTCCTGGAGCATAACCCTGCTGAGCCAAGACCTTCTACATGCTTGGTTGTCCAGGATCTACTCCACTCCACATCAGGTTGCTCCATGTGGGATATCACCACCCTCCTGATCACACCTGCATCCAAACCACCCCCCACCAGCAGCCCCATCCCACCTCCTTACCGTGCACCACAACATCAAACTCCCTCTGCTCCTGCCCCTCTGCACTGGCCACCAGACAAGTGTAGTGTCCTGTGTGGGTCACCTCTGCTCTGAGGATGTGCAGCCGCCTCCCTTGCTCCGTGAGCAGGAGCCCGTCCCCACCAGCCACGGGCTGCCCGTCCTTCACCCACGTCACGGAGGGTGGTGGCATCCCCATGGCCTCGCACTCCAGGACCGTCTCACCACCCTCGATGACAGAAACCTTTCTTGGGGTGTTGCTGCTGCCCTGGACCCTCGGCAGCGCTGTGGGCAGAGGGACACAGCGGGGAGGTGATGTTGTAGCAACTCCCTTGGCCGTGCACAAGTGGATTGGCAAAGCCAGCCCGGGTAGCAGCATCCCTTCCAAAATACCCAAGGGCACCAGGCAACAGCTTTTAGGTCCAGCTGGACCTTGCACTGAGAGAGGTGACAACACCATCAGCCACCCCCATGAGTCCTCTACATCTCTGGGCCCCCCAGCTCACCGTGCACCTCCAGGCGATGCTCCTTGCTGCTGCTGCCGGCGGCATTCCTGCACTCGCAGGTGTAAGTCCCCTCATCCACCAGCTGTACCTTCTCCATGTACACCACGCTCCCTCCCATGGACACCAGCTTCGGGCTCCCAGGCTGGGTGGAGAGGGGCTCACCTGCCCAGGAGAGGGGAGAGCAGCCTCCTCTCAGGCTCCCAGCAGGAGCAGTTCCTACCATGAAGCTGGATACGGCTCAGCATAAAGCACTCCTTGCTCCAAGGAGACCAACATCTGGGCCGACACGTGTGTGGGGAGGGATGAGACTGAGAGGCAGCACCCTACCATCCTTCTGCCAGCTCAGGGTGGGGAAGGGGATCCCATGGCACTCGCAGGCCAGCCTGACAGACTGCCCCTCCAGCACGGACACAGGCCCAGGCTCTGCCAAGGAGACGGATGGAGGCACTGCAGGGATGAGAGAAGCATCTCATTGATGGCACCAGACAAGAAGAGAAGGGCAGGTCCTCACTGGAGCTCCATCCTGCTGGATAGACACCACCTGCAGCTCTGCTGGGTGCCACTCAAAAACCAGTGGGACTCCCCTGCCCTGTCTCCATGTGAAAACAATAATCTTGTCTCTCCAGCCAAGTGAGCGATGCTTTTAACTGCACGTGGCCCACAGCAGAGGATGACCAAGCATCCCACGCCAGGCACACAAGCAGGCCAAGGTCAGGTTGGCCAGACACAGCCTTATTAAGTAGCCCTGCTCTCTGGGAAGGTTACCCAACTCTTTCCATTATTCGGATGCTGTTCTCAGTTGCTCATAAATACAGCTGGCTGGAAAACAGTAACTCCTTCCCTTGAGGGATATCAATTTGTAGAAGAAAAACCCCAACACCCAGAAACCCCTGAAAAACAAAAACAGCAGAACCCAAACAATCCACCCGAGCCAGGACCGCAGACGTACAAACATTTCCCTGGGAAGGGATCACAGGAACAAAAGCCCAGACCAGGAGAACTGGATTTTCTCCACTCCCTGGCTACCTGCCCTCAGGACTTCCACCAACTGGCCTAGAGTATTCCTGAGAAGAGCCAGACCCTGGCATTGTGGACATGCTGAGTGGTCTGGGAGGCTCCAAAGATGCTCAGATAAAGTGAGAAAAAGTGTCTAGTGGCTGTCTTGGCAACATCCCTGGAGCCACCACTGGCATTCCCCTCAGCTTGGCCAGGGTGGGTGAACCTAAAGTGACCACTGTACTGATAGAGTGCAAAGAAAGGACAGGGAGGTCCTGGCAACAGCGAGGAAATCCTTCAGTCTGCTGCCCAAATTTCAAAAAGACACCACTTCTGCTTCATCACTGAAATCTTCCCCCAAGGCTCAGGCAAACATTATCTTTTTTTCCCCCCTCTCACCCCATCCTGGTGGGGGATCCCTGACACTTCCAGGTGTGTTGTTTTGCAGAGTGTTAATATTTTGGTCAGGTGTTTTCCAAACCACATATATATGCCCCTGATGGGGTGTTTCAGCCACAGTGGCCCTTACCCCACACATGGAGGCTGAAGTGTCTCTCGGGGTGGCCGGGCACCTGGCACGTGTACCTGCCCACATCCTGCACGCTGGCTTGCCCAATCTGCCCAAACAAGGAGAGATGCTAAGCAGACACACAAGCAGAGCTGGACCCCCACAGCCTCTCCATGGCAGGATTTTGTGCCAGCAGAAGGCATCGGGATGGAAGCAGCATGAAGGGTGAGAATGGTGCTGAGCCTTGGGCTGGGACACCCCCTCCCTCTGCACTCACTTCTCGCAAGGGTGAGGAAGAGGAGACAGGTGCCTTCACAGCCCCATTTGCCCTGCCATCCCCTGCAGTATTCCCAAACATCACCTGGAGCACAGTCCCCTCTGCAGACAGCTGCACACCCGGCCCTGGTGTGAACAAACTCCCGTCCTTCAGCCAGCGGGACCCCTGAGCGGGGACCCTGGGGGTCAGACACTGCAGGGTCACAGGCTGGTTGACGATGACAGTCACATTCTCCTCCTCACCCAGGGTGGTAGGGGGCACTGGAAAACAGATCAACAGGGCAACACCTTTCCCAAGCCACCCGCTTTGATCCTCCCCAGCCCCGTGATCTCACCAGGGGACGGCAGAGCAGCCCCACAGTCCCAAGGATCACCTCCAACCCACACTGGCGGGAAGGGGCTGGGACACACAGGGGTACTTACACTGCACCTCGAGGGTGGTCTCATGTCTGTCCTCCCCCACGGCACTGCTGGCTACGCACGTGTACGTCCCTGAGTCCTGGAGACGGGCGGTGGGCAGGGACAGCACGTGCCCGCCAGAGAGGATCTGTGCTTCCCCAAGACACAGACAGCCCAGATGAGCACGGAACCAGAGCAACTCATAGGCAGCTGGGCTGCATGCTGCCTTGCAGGGATGGGGGAGTTGGCATAAGCCTGCCTTGAACCCATTCCCAAAACTTCCCAGGGACCCTCTGCCCGGTCCTGCCCTTCACGGTAGGAAAGCTCCGTGCGGGGCTGAGCAGGTCTGTGCCCCATGGACCAAACATGGTGCAGGTCTGGGTGGCATTGCACGTGCTCAGCTCCAGCAGCTGTTTTTTTAAAAGCCAGACAAGAAAAAAGAGCACCTTCCTGGAGGGACATCTCCAGTGAGTCCCCCTCCATCAGGATTTGTCTCACCTGTGGGCCACCCATTGCCTCGCTGGGCACTGGATTGCCATCCTTCAGCCACAGCAGCATCGGAGCTGGGGTCCCCCTGGCATCACATTCCAGTGTCACCGGCTCGTTCACCAGCACTGTGAGGGAGCTGGGGCCAGCTGTAATCTGTGGGGGCACTGAGGGACAAAGGAATGTCACCAGCCACAGCAGGGCACAAAAGGGACAGGGTGGGCAGGAGACACTGTGATGGGGATCAGGCAACACCCATCCAGGGGGTTCTGGTTTTCTAGGAAACGGCTTGGGATGAATGCAGGGGATTGCATGGTTGGAATTGCTAAATCCGCCTTCCAGGGATGCGTCCCACTGGTCTCGTGCTCACAGGAGGGATTCCACGGGGAGGGGGAAGCACCCATCTCTCAGTGTGCACTCACCAGTGACCTGCAGGCTGTACCAGAGCTCAGCCACACCGGCCACGTTGGAGGCCACGCAGCGGTATCTGCCAGCATCAGAGAGCTGGGCATGCCAGAACTCCAAGCGCTTCCCGTCCCTGGACAGGGTCTGTCCCGGTCCGGCCATGAACTCCTCGTGCCCCTTGTACCAGGTGATGTCTGGAGGGAAGCAGAAAGCCGAGCTGGGAGGTGCAGTGCTGCTGTCCCTCTCACCCAGGGAAAGCCTCAGGAATGCAAAAGCAAGGAAGAGGATTGACTCACGAGGAGCAGGCAGCCCTGAGGCCAGGCACTCCAGGGATGCTGTGCCGTTCTCCGGGATAGCCAGATCCACCGGGCTGGGTTCGATGTTTGGAGGCACTGCAACCCAGCACACACCATCACCAGCTCTGCATGGCCCAGGCTGTCTGCAGCCACCACAGGGCAGGGCTGGGCAGCACAGCCAGGCTTGCTGCTGCTCCCCCAGCCAGCCAGCAGGTTAGTTCCCCACCCCAGTGAGACATTCATCCTCCCCATCGCCGCTCCCTGCCTGGTTTCTCACCCAGCACCTTCAGTGTGACATCCTCCTGATGGAGGTGGGAAGGGAAAATGGGGCTGGGGAAGACTCTCTCCCCCTGGAAGCACCCATCAAGGATGGATGCTGTGCTTTACTGGGCTGTCAGTGGCCATCAGCTCTCAGCCTCATTGGCAAAGGACAAGAACCCAATAGATCAGGGTAATGACCCTACAACTACCAAAAAGCATGGCCAAGAACACCCACCCCTTTGGCCAGCCATGTTCTCCCAGACAAATGGGATGGACACTGGGTCTTGCCCCAGGTGCTGCACTCACCATGCACCAAAACCTGCACCTCTGCCTGGGCCACCCCTGCCCAGTTGCTGCCCTGGCAGACGTAGAGCCCTTCATGACCCAGCCCTACACGGGCGATCAGCAGAGTCCCACCATCCTCAGACACCACCACACTGTCCTGCTCGCCCACAGGGTGCCCATCCTTCAGCCACCTGTGGGGAAGGGGACAGGCAGCAAGTCTTTGGTCTGTCCTGCCACCACCCAGCTCCCCATCTCTGCACACCAGCGGGGTGAGCTGTGGGTTGCTGGCAGCAGGGACTGTCCCTGTGCCACCTGGAACTGGGTTGGCAGTGCCCAGATCATTGGGCAGAGGATACCAGGGGCAAGGAGAAAGAATGGATGTCTCCTATCTTAAGGGACACCCCGAGCCAGAGATCGCTATTACACATCCAGGGATGACAGGCAGGACACACCCTCTGCAGTACTCACTGGATCTGGGGTGGAGGGGTGCCCATGGCATGGCAGTGAATCCTCAGGGAGGTGTTGGCAACAGCTGCCAGGTGACTTTCCCCATCACCGATCCACAGCTGGGGTGGAGCTGGGGAGGTGGAGAGGGGACCTCAGGCTGGGACGACCCTCAGGCACCAGCACGGGAGTGTGGGAGCAGCCAAGGGCTTGGAGGGTGCAGGACCCCAGTGGTGCATTAAGCCCTTGGGAGGAGTATTTTAAGCAGGGATGTGAACCTTGGACGTGCAGGCTGTAGCTGAGCGAGGTGTTCCCCGCGGTGTTCGTGGCTGTGCAGGTGTAGAGCCCGCTGTCTGTCACCTGGGGCTTGGCCAGATGGAGGGACCCCGAAGGGAGGACACTGTACCTTGGGGGAGAGGGAAAAGAAATGCTGGATGGGAGGAACAAGGGTGTCATCTGTCACCTACCCCCAGGCAAGAGCTAAGGGCTGAGAGCTCACTATCTCCCCGAGACAGCCACAAGTCCCCAGGGCCACCTCCCATGCGAAGAGGGTGGTAGAGCTGCCCATGGGGGCGAATCCTCTTTGCTCAGCCCCTGCACAAGCTCAGCATGAGGCAGCACATGAGCCCAGGGGAATGAAGGGGAATGGGGGTCCCCAGGGAGCACAGCCCCTGCAGCTGGAGCTGGCCACGCTCTCACTCCAGCCCTGTCTGTGCTCCACAGACATAACATCATCTCAGCCCACGGCTGCAGATCCCTGCTTGTGTGCTCCCATCCATCACCCACCACGTGAGCACAAGCCAGCTGAGATGTGGGGAGCAGCACAGGCCAACCACAGGGAAACCAGACAGGAACAACAAGGCACCACAGTCCCCTCAGGAAGAGCAAACCCAAGATGCCTTCCCTGCTTCCCCATCCCACAGCAGTCCTCAGGTACAGAGAAAGAAGGGCTTAACCCCAAGATCCAGGGCCATGAGTTTAGGGGCCTCCAGCAGCCACAACCCTCCTTACCTCGTGGTGGCGAGAGGCAGCGGCTGGGACTGTCGGCTCCACAGCACCAAGGGAGGGGGGTGCCCTTGAACCTCGCAGGGCAGGGTGGTCTCCTGCCCCAGCACAGCCAGGACGGTGACAGGGTCGGGCACCTGTGATCCGTTCACACTGATCCTGGGCTTTGCTGGATGGAGAGGGAGCACAGCTGGTGCAGGGACCCTTCAGGTGCCCCACAGCCCTCATCGCTTCTCTTCCCATCCTGCAAACCCATCTGGAACCTGGATAGGTGCTCCAAGGAAGCCATGAGTGTTCCCAGGTCATGCTTTCCCAGCCAGTCCCCTCTGGAGCAGTCCTGAGCACTCACTGCTGATGGAGAGCTGCATCTCCTGGCTGGAGAAACCTGCGGTGTTGGTAGCTGTGCAAAAGTAGGTCCCAGCGTCCCCAGGGGAGGGTGAAGGGATCAGGAGGGTCCCATCAGGGTCAAGGTGGTATTGTGGACTCAGAAAAATGGGCTCTGTGCCCTGCAGAGGGAAGGGAAGAAAGAAAGACAGCAGAGACTGTCCCATGAGCTGAGCACCACAAGGGCAAGAAAAGGGTTCTGAAGCATCAGAGCAAGCCATGTCCTGGTCCCAGCTTCCCAGGACACCTGGTGCCAACTCTCCAGGCAGCCACAGCCACACTAGAGAGCTGCACTACCCTCAAACACAGCACCCAGGGTGACCCAAAGCTGGTTGGCAGGGGGACAGTAGCCTGCCTGTCCCTGTCACCTACCTTGGCCCAGGTGATCGTAGGGGTGGGCACACCAGTGGCATTGCACCGCAGGGTGACAGCCTCTCCCTCGGTGGCAGTGACAAGGACAGGGCCAAGCTCAATGCTGGGAGGAACTGGGAAGGAGGAGAAGCACCTCACCCTGCATGGCCAGGGCCAGATCTCCACAGAGAGCAGTGCTGAGCTGTTTATGGGGCACAGAGAGCACCTGCCCCTGGTCACCTCAGAGCGGGGACACCCAGCACCCTGTCACTCACCGTGGATGACGAGGGACACGTCCTGCCTGTGCGAGCCGAGGGCGTTGGTCACCTCACAGGTGTACCTCCCTGCATCCCCCTGGGATGCCTGATCCATGTGCAGGCTCCCGTCAGCCCGGATGGAGTGGTGGTCACTTGGGGCTACCTGGGCACATGCAGAGAGCAGGACAGTCAAGGGGTCAAATGTCACCTTAGAGCTGTGTCTTTAGGGCACATCTAGAAACTGATCCTTGAGCAAAAGAACATCCTCATGTGGTGATAAAGCCACTTTGCCCTCCCAACACAAACGCTCCCCTGGCATCTTTCACCAGCAGCTTCGGCCTGGCAGGTTATGACACCCATCCTGCAGCAAAGCCCCTGCTGCAGGGCAGCTGCCCACTCACCCACCCCCCATCCCAGCAGGCATGGAAACCTCACCGTTTGTCCATCCTTCAGCCAGCGGCGGGCTGGGAACGGCCTCCCAGCCAGGATCACACAGGGCAGTGACACAGGCTGGCCTGGGAGTGCGTGGATCACGGGGGATGCAAGAGCTATTTCTGGGGCTGCTTGAAAGAGGGGAAAGGGATACAGTATTATTTGGTTATAAACTGGCCAGTAGCACCCAGGAGAGTGGATCTGGATCACCTTTCTTCCAGGGTCCAGACCCTGGCTCTGCGCAAGGCAGACATTTATCTCCCCCAAGAATTTGGGGATATACATGTCAGCGTATAAAGTTGAAGAGGTGCAAGGGCATTACCCAAACCCTGCCCCGGGGTTTGCTGAGCATTCCCCACAGCCAGCTCGGGAGCAGAAGTGGTTGCTCAGGCCTGTCACTCACTGCCAGGATCGATACACCAACCAAAGCAGGGAAAAGCAAACCGTGTCCGGTGACTGTGAGCTTGACCTCCGCTTGGATTTTCCCAAATTCATTCTGAGCCTCACAGATGTAGATGCCTTGGTCATCCAGCGAGGCACCTGGGACATGGCAGGGAGAAGCATGAGCCTGGTGGGGCTGCAGAGCCCTGAATGAGCTCCAGGATGGGTGACACCACCCTCCCCTTCCCTCCCACCACCTCCAAAGGAGGACAGACCGGAGGCTTGCAGGCTATTGCAGCACAGCTAAAGCTGCACAAGTTAAAAATACAAATGAACGTGTGCATGCTCAGCTCTTACTGTTGATGAGGAGCTGGGCAGCCTCCAGCTGGCTGGAATCCCCCCGTGGTCCCTGCCAGCCCTCCATGGGCTTCCCGTCCTGCCGGGACCAGGTGACCTGTGGTGGGGGAGATCCCTCCACGTGGCACAGCAGGGTCACACTCTCTCCAGCTGTGACCTCCACGTCACCCAGAGGCTCGGGAAAGTGAGGGGCAGCTGGAGGAGAGAGTAATGGAAAAGGGGTTCAGGCAGGTCCAGCATCCCAGCTTCCCACTCTGAGCACAGTCAAGCCTGAAAAAGGGATGGGACTGTGAAACCCACGAGCCAGGTGCCCTCACAAGTTACGAGACTGACTTAAAGCATTTGGGGCTTTTCCAAAGCTGTCAGAGCCACTGCAGTTTCTGTCCCTTCCAGTTACACTCAGCAAAAACCTCTTGCACTTTTCCATCTTTAACTGCTTCTAACCCTACTGCCCCCAGCTCAGAGCTTTCCCTCCTCCTCCCCATGCTCCTCCATCTCTTCTACCTCTGATGGAAAGCCCTGAGCAACAGTCAGTGTACCTGAATTTTCAGATACACCTAAGTCAGGCCCCACCTCTGCCTAATCCCCCCCCGACTGCACCTTGCATCCCCAGCTGGGTTCCCAAGCCATCATGTCCCCATAACAGTAACAACTACACTGGCTTCTGCCACTCGTTGAAACTCTTCCATCCTCCCAACTCTTAGAAATCCTGTCAGGCTTCCCCCTGCTCGTACCAAGCAACAACACCCCCCTGTTTGGAAATCCGGGAGGCGGCGGCACGAGGAGACCTGGGAAGCAGCAGATGGGAGCTGAACCCAACGGGAGGGCAGGGACTTACACCCCACGTCCAGCAGGGTGCTGTCGAAGGCGACGCCGGCCTCGCTGAGAGCCTCGCAGCCGAACTGCCCCGCGTCCTCCTCCCGCACCTCCTGCAGCCTCAGGACGGCACGCTGGGTGCCGGGTGGGAACGTCGCCATCGCCTGCTCGCCTGCCCCAGGGCCCCCACATCAGCACCCACATCAGCACCCCAAGCGCCTCTGTGGGTCCCCTCCCGGTGCCGGGCCGGGGGACCCCACGTGTGATGTCTCTGCAGGGCAGCAGAGGGGCTCCAGTGCACGGAGGGGGGATCTACTCCCCAGCCCCTGCCACTCTCACCTTTGTACCACACTACGTGGGGCGGGGGTGCCCCCGAAACCCAGCACTCCAGGGTCACGTCCTCTCCCACCAGCACCTTCAGGCTGGGTGTCACCGCCAGGATGGCAGGAGGCTCTGTGCCACGGGGAGAGATGGTTTTGGTCTCCAACAGCCGTGCCACTCACCCTAAGGGTATCACAGAGCCCTGGGACACCCTCCATCACACACAGCCCCATTCCAGCTGTGCTGCTGGCCAGCAGGGAGCAGGTACCAGTGAACTCCAGGGTGATGACTTGCTCGTCCCAGCCCAGCACGCTGCTGGCAGAGCAGCTGTAATTGCCTGCATCCTCTGGGACAGCAGCCCTGATGTGCAGGGTACCCTCAGCATCCCTAAAAACCCTGTGGCAAACGGGGAGAGAGAGGGAGAAATGAGCCCTGTGAAAGCAGAGATGATGGAAAAATGTGTTGATATAAATGAATGGGCTTCAGGCCATCCTGCACACGTGGCGAGTGCTGGGCATGTGATGGATGTGGGTCAGCACTTAGAGCCAGCTCTGTCAGCTGCTGCAGGGAAGGACTTTGCTTTGAACCGGGGAAAAGCACTGAGAATTGGGCTTTTTCATCTCCCGAGTCAAAAAGCCTTCCCCAAAGCCCACTCCAGAACTCAGAGCCTGACACAGGCAGGAGGTGGAAGGCAAAAGCAGAAGAAATTAAGAGGAACTACAAGGAGTATTTTGAGACTTGAGCACACACCGGGTGTGCAAAGCACTGTTAGTCCCTGTGGTGGGGACAGTGACCTGGATAGGGGAGGACAGCTTAAAAATAAATATGAAATTAAGGCCAGCAGTATGCCAAGCATCTCAGGTGCATGGGATACTGCAGTTCCTCCCTCTTTCTGGAGCTATGGCAACCCCAAGCCACTCTCCTTCACCCCTTCCATACATCCCTGGAAGGAAAGCATCATCCCCATGGGACTGGGAGGATGGAGACACCCAGGTCCCCACAGGTTACCTCTCGTCCTGCTCCAGTGCCCAGCCCCAGCGCTTCCAGGTGGTGTGGGGTGGGGGGTGGCCCCCGGCCGTGCAGTTCAGATGCAGCTCCTGGCCCCTCCTGAAGCGCTGGGGGCTGGGCCCCACCTTCACCCACGGCGCCTCTGCACGGGGATGGAGCAGGGCTCAGCCCCTGGGTGCCATTCACCACCCACCCACGGGGCAGAACATCACCTGGGCCAGCGCCCCGTGAGGGGCAAAGCCTACCCTGGATGAAGAGCCAGAGGGAGGCGGTGGCAGCGCCGTGGGCGTTGCGTGCCACGCACTCGTACAGGCCCCCGTCCCCCGGCCGCACGCGGCTGATCTCCAGGGAGCGGTTCTGCAGCAGCCGGGTCCGGCCATCCCCTGGCTGCGCCGACTTCCCATCCCAGCTCCACGTCAGGTTGTAGGGCGCATCCCCCAGCACCAGGCAGGACATGACAACATCTTGGCCCGGTGAAGCCGTGATGTTGGCCGGGGCGATGAGACGCGGTGGCGGCTCTGAAAACATGGGACACCGGGGTGAAAGGAGCCCGTGCCCGGCCACAGGCACAGAGAGGGCACCCAGGCTCGGCACAAGCAGCCCCCACCTGACACAGAGACGTAGACACGAGCCCGCGTCACCCCGACCTTGCTCGTGGCCGTGCACTCGTAAAACCCTTCGTCGCTCTTGGACACTGCAGGGATCAGCCAGCTGATGTTCCCTGAACTCCTACAGAAAGGGGGTGATGAAAAGGTGGGTCGCCCCCACACTTGGGAATGCCACGCCACCACCCTGATCCTAATCCCTGAGACTTTTTTCCATCTGAGTCAGGGCGAAGGGATGCACCCACACCGACTGCAGACATGTCCCTTGGAACTTTCCTTTTGAGATGCTCACAGGTAGCACAGAGCATCCCCCTGGCCCACACAGCTCAGGGGCTGTTCCTGCCCACGTGGGTCTCTCATGGAGCTCACTGGGCCATACCAGAGGCTCACCTGAAGAGCTGCTCTTCCCTGAGCTGCATCGTGCCTCGGCTGAGCTGCAGGCGGAAAGGGACCTCACTCTGGGCAGAGCAGGAGATCAGCTGTGGCTCACGGCTGTAAGCCTGGATCTTGCTGGAGATGTCCACTTTGGGCAGACCTGGAAGTGTTTGGGGAGGTGCACACATGTAACACCCCTCAGGAGCTCACTGGGAGCTGCCCTGGGAAGCAGGATAGAGGATACTCAGAAAGAAACCAAAGCAGAGGCAGTGTTGGAACCTCTGGTCCCCCCTCAGCAGCTGTGGGGAGCGTGTGTTCCACTCACCAGGGACCACACTGGTGTAGGTGACCCCGGAGAGGCGGTGCAGGGGGTGGCCCTGGGCGTCTTTGCCCTTCACCTTCAGCAGGAAGTCACCTGGGGGGACACGGAGAGGTGAACCCACCCAGAGCTGCCCCGAGGAGGAGTTGGAGAGGGGCCACACGGGCAGTGAGAGCAGGGCATGGCCAGAGGTGTTGAAGAGCTCGATCTCCTGCAAGCGCCCAGGCAGCCTCAGACCGGTGCAGTTGACCACCACGGAGATGGGCAGACCTGGAAAACAGGGAGGTAAAAAAACAACCAACCACACTCCTGGTTGCAGGATGCCCAGGTGCAGCATCCAGCCCCCCGGGGCAGCACCAGCCTCACCCTGCACTGGCTGCTCTCCGGGCTGGCTGGCATCAAATTCCGGCTGGGTGGAGAAGCTGGCTTGGAAATTAATGTTGCTGATGCCCGTGATCCTCAGGGAGTGGCGGCCACTGCTCCGGGTCTGGAAGCAGATTGAGAGGCACGTACTGAGGGCAGGGGAAGGGAGAGGTGATGGGAAGGAAGGAGGTGGCAGCCGGCCCCTTCAAGCCTGCTCACATGTCCTGTGCCTATCTGGAGATGGATGAGGAAATCTGACACATGGAAAAGGCTGGCCAGCTAAATATCCATCAGGGAAAGGCAGAGGATGTGCAGGGTCTGCCACCAGCCTACCGTGACCAACCACGTCCCTGGCTCAGAGGGCTCCACAGCCACCACCATGGCTGAGTTGGGGATGCTGAGAAGTTCCTTCAGACCTCGGCCTTTCTCCAGGACCTTTCCTGCAACAATAAGGGAACCTCTGGGATGGGCAAGCCAAACCCATCCCCTGGTCCCTGCAGCAGCCAGGAACCCCCTCCCTAGGGGCTCAGGGTAGTGCAGAGCTCATCACAGCTCACAGCCAGCACAGCAGGGAAAACCCTGCGAAAGCCAAAGCCATCCCTGGAGGAGATGTTGTAAACAGCAATCCCTTACTGAGAGCTATTTGAGTTTTCAGGGCAGGGTTTGACAAACCCCTTTCTGCCTGTCCTGACCTGGAAGGCAAAGCATCACCCCCTGCTATCCCTTTCCCCCGTGCTCCTACCTGCCGGATCCCGGACCTTGATCCCAGGGGCAGGGCCGCTCAGGGAGATGGTGACCTCCCTCAGGCTGGGGTCAAAGGGGACAGGCCACGTGTGCTCCCCACCATCCTCATGGTCTGTGGACAGCAGGTGGACCTTGGAAGCCTGGATGGCCTCTTCCACCCACTTCAACACCTGGAGGCATGTGGGGGAGAATTAACCTGGATCCCCCCTCGCTGACAGGCACAGCCGTTTCGGGGTCATGTCAGGAGCAGGGGTCCATCTGGTGCCAGCACAAGGGGGCTGAAGGACGGGTGGGCTGGAGGTACCGGCCCTGGCTGAGGCCCCCTTTTAATTTGGTGTAGTTGTTATTGCCAGGAGTGCCACAGCTTCAGCCTCAGCCCCAGGCAGACAATTCCCTTCCTCAGGGGCTGGAAGGTCAGTTCATCCCCAAGGATTCCACAGGCAGCCTTCTCCAGCCCCTGCCCCAGCTTCAGACTGATGTGGGGCTCCCAGAGCAATCTGGAGGTGCCTTGGTCACAAGGATTCACCACAGGCAGAACATAAGAGCTCAGCTAGCCGGGCTGGACCACGAGCCCTTCAGCCCCTCCATGTGGCAGCAAGGACCCCCACTCACCTCTGTCACCTGCTGCTTGTCCAGGTGGAAGATCTGCCCAGAGCTGGTGGCAGCGATGCGCTCGTACACGCGGTACCCGGGGTGGCTCCTGTCCCCGCAGTCCCCCGTCAGCACGAACACCACCTGCCACAGCAACGGTCCCTGTGGCATCCCACACAGCCACCAGGCCAGGGAGGGGACCACCACCATCCCAGAACATGGAGTCACCCAGGGAATGTGAAATGCCCCTCACTACCAGGTGGCACAGCGGGGTTATCGCTGTGTTCCGCTGATGCGCTGCTGCCGAGTCCCCCCAGGCTGGAGGCTGGTGGGCAGCACCTCTCACCTGGGTCTGCTTGTGCTGCAGCAGCCTCAGCAGCTCCTCCTGCTGCTCGTAGTCCTTGGCCCGGGCATCGGAGAAGACGTAGATGAAGGAGCCGGGATGTGAGATCTCCACGGCCAGCCTGATGGCTCCCACGCTCATCTCCGGGCAGTCCCCTCCGCCCTGTGGCGCACAAGGGAGGTGGCACAGCCACCCAGTGCTCAGTCCTTCCCTGCTGGGCTCCTGGCAGGATCCCACCCAATGTCTGCTCATGGGAGGAACTGCACCATTTGCTGGAGTCAGCCCTAAGCAGCGTGATGGAACCACAGGGACACACAGGATCACATGGACCTGTCCCTCTACCAGCTTCAGTGGTGTTTGAACCACCAGTCTGGGGATCCAGGCTCACAGAAGCCGCTTATTTCCCACAGATACTTTTAGCAGGAGCGTTTGTGCCCACCCCAGCCCCTCACCTGCCCTGGCAGCAGAACCAGCCACCCCAGGGAAGTGCAGGGGCACAGTGAGGACCAGCTCCCACTCCCCCAGGGCTTGGCACCCCAAAGGGCTGGGAAACCATTTGCAGCCACAGTGTTACACCTCCTGCCAAACCAGCTGCATCTGAAGGGAAAAGTCACGGGGATTTAGCAATGCACAGGAGGCAGGGGAGGAATGGGGATGGATAAAGCAGGATTAAACTCCTGGGGAGAATTTCATCTGGCAGAAAACAGATGAAATCACTTTAAAAAAATATTTAAAAGTTCATTTTTCAAGCAGCGCTTCTAAGAGAATAGATTTTTTGGTTCCACAGGGAGTCTGTGCAAACTCTCCTAGGGAGACCATCTCCCTTTGGACAAGAGCTGTGAATTGGGAATGCTCTGCCCTGTTACAGGACCCGGGGGAACAGCATCAGCATTACCTACACTCTCCACTTCCACCCCAGTGTGAGCAGCTCCCTGCCAGCCTGACTCAGCCCTGAGACCTCACCACTGTCCCCAGGGGATGCAGAGATCACTCCTGGAACCCACCACCTCAAAAAGCCAGGCTTCCCACCAAGTGCCACGGGCCAGGCACTGAGCCAGGCCTGGCACAGCCGTGGGGCTGAGGGTGCCTACCTGGACATGGAGCTCCTGCAGGCGCTGCTGGAAGAGCTGGGGGTCCGTGGTGAGGGTGGCAGGTCCCACCTCTGCAAACACACCAACACCACCTCAGCACCAGCCTCGTCCTGTGCCACCCCTGCTGCCAGCACTCCCGAGCACCCACCCCAGCTCAAACATCTGTGAGACTCAGGGTTCAGCATCTACCCTGGCTTGGCACCAGGTGGGAAATGGATTTGGGCAGACCAGCCATGTGCCCCTAATGTGACCATTCCCTTGCCTGGTCCCAGCAAGGGTGAGCTGCAAACCCAGCACCCTTTTCTGCTGGGGGAGGCTCCCAGAAAAAACAATGAAGAAACCCATTCACTGCTTCTGCCTCCTTCCTCGTCTGGCTCCAGTGGTTTTCATTCAGTCCAGAGTTTCTGCTGGAAAATAAAGCCTGGGTCCTACTCTCCTTGTAGGAGGTCGGAGCTCTTTTGGGGAACGGTTGTTCTTTTATGGGTGTGCACAAAAACCCAAGGCAAAAACAGGGACAGAAAGAAATTATTCTGAGGGGGCAGTGAATTGCCAAAACCCCTCAGGGAGTGGTGCTTTTATTGACATGACCTGGAAGCACATCATGGACTTGTACAGAAATACCCCCACCACCATTAGACCAGGGAGATTGGAACAGGATGGAAGTGGAGGAGCCACTCACCAGTGGGTGCCAGCATCCTTGGGATTAATGCAGTGGAAACAGCTCACCCTGTGCCCATAGAGTGGCTTGGGAACAGAAGTCCCAGCCCAGCTCCATGCCCTCAACCTGCAGCTCATCTTGTACTGCCATCCCCACCACAACAGTCACCAAGGCATTAAAAACACGGAGAAAGGATGGTGCAGGCACTTGTGAAGTGCACATTTCAGCCCCAAACCCAGCCAGAACCACACCCCAGCTCCCCACAGCCCCATCCCTGGCAGGACAAGTGTCCTCACTCTGTCCCAGCCGTACCTGGGTCACTGAAGGGGACCAGAGCGTAGTTGCTGATGGGCTTGGTGCTCCTGCTGAGCGTCCGGTCCAGGATGCGGGAGGCTCCGTCCATCACCTGCACCAGGTCGTCGTACATGGAGCCAGTGACATCAAAGACGAAGGCAAGAGTGGCCCACCCTGAGCGGGGGGGGCTCTCGGCGACACTGGGGGCCAGCAGCAGCCAGAGACCCACAAACACCCCTCCGTGGGGTGGCATCGCGGGGGAGACCCTCAGGTGCCAGGGACACCCCTTCAGTCCTTGTCCTGGTCCTTCCCGCAGACCCCCCGGGCACTGTCCCCTCGCTAGGGAGGGACACGGCGTAGAAGGGGCCACACGCCGTGGGGACGGAGCCGGGACCCCGGTCAGGGAACACCCAGCCGCCCGCAGCTGCGGACCTGCTCCTCCAGCGTTCAACTTCTGGGAGGGAGGAGGGTGGGAGGGAGAAAAAAACCGGACTTTTGGAGCCAGCGACGCGGCAGGGAGGTGGGTGGGGGCTGGAGGATGTCAGGATGGGGATGCAGGGATTGGGAGGCAGATCCTACAGCCCGTAGGGTTGTCAGAAGCACTGGCCAGGCCCCCTGACCCCTCCAGCCCGGCTCAGAGAGACCCGAACTGCTCTGCCAGGGGGAGCCGGGGGTTAGGGAAGGACATGGGGGCTCGCAGCTGAGCACCTGTGGGGAAACCCTGCCAAACCCCCAGCAGGGGGGAAGAGACAGCTGCGAAAGAGACCCCAAGGAAATTCCCCCTCTGAGAGGCGAAGGACCCCCCTGGAATGGGGGTCCGCAACGAGGCTGGGGAGTCAAGGGGCTCTGGAAGGGCTCACCAGCGCAGCTGCCCCAGGAACAGGGAGCAAACAGCCACGCAAAGTACAGACAAAGCCGGAGCCAGGACATGGGCTGGGAAGGCAGCCTTGGCCGGCACAGGCAGCCCTTGGCCGGGAGCGCTGGCTGAGCGTGCAGAGAGTTTCCTGGCTCCCCTCGAAGTGGAGTGCTGAGCTCATGGCTGCTCCGGAGGGATGCTCTGCTCTTGCTCAACTCCCCCGCAGCGGGACCCAGAGAGCAGGCACAGCCAAGAGCCGGCTCCAGGTGAGGCTGCGCACCGAGGGCTGAGCACCTCCTGCACCCCCAGCACCAGCCCTGCTTCCCCCAGACGCAGGGGCTGGGCGACCTCGGAGGTGTTACCCATTCCATCACCCACACGCAGGACAGTGGGACTATCCAGTGCATCCCTCTGCCCCACGAGTCCCTGCAGACTCGGGCTCAGCCCAGCCTCGTGGTGAGCAAGGACCCACCCCTCGCAGCAGGGCAGATGGCACCTCTGCCCCATGGGGCCGTCTAGTGGCCTGTCCCCATCCTGTCCCACAGCCAGGGCTGTAGCCTGGCTTGCAGAAAGCCCCTTGTCTCCCTCAGGCTTCACACACCCAGCCCCCCACATTCACTGCAAGTTGGGGGGAGTGCCCCACCCCACAGCGCCACCAAACCTACCTTAGAGCATCCCCAGCCACCAACCTGCATCCCAGTTCCGTCCTGCACCCTGGCAGGGAGCACCTCTCACCAGCACTGCTGGCACAAAGGAACCCCAACAGCTTCTCCCCATCAACAAATTAATCCCAGCCAGCCCTTCCCACATTCACCAGTGCTCCCACTCCCAGGAGCACCTGTGCCAGCTGGGCTTTAACCCTTTTCTTGCTGGGGCTTAAGGCACAGCCTCTGAGCAAGCACCGTGGTTTGGAGCCTGTGCCCATCCTCGCGCACTCCCTGGCACAGGGGAGGAATCCCCGGGTGCCCCCACCATGTGCTGGCACAAGGCACCTCTGGACAAAACCCCCTGTGCAAACACAGCCCCCTTGTTCGGACCGTTAGGGCAAATCCTCCGGCCACCCGAAAACAATTAGTCAGCCTCGTTAGGAGAGCAAACACAACAGCGATGGGCCGGCAGAGAGGCCTTGCAGCGCTCGTTTCCAGAAGACTTGGCAGAGCAGAATGGCAAACCCGATCCCACCGCACGTGAAAAGCCCAGTCCGGGCTGGGAGCCCCCCCGGGAGCCCTGACAGTGGCGGGGAGGGGGGGCTGCCGAGGGGCACCTCCGGTCTGGAACATGGGGCACAATCATGGGATATTCACATCCAGCTTCCTGTGCAGCCACTGTGTGCCAAAAGCGACCTGACAGCTCCCAGACTGCTGCATCGACCAGGAAGAGACGGGGATGGCACCAGTGGGCACCCAGCTGCAAGTGTGGGAAACAAAAAAAGGAAGAAGGGATGCAGGCACTGTGGCAGGATGGGACCTGGCAGAGGGACACCTGTGTCTGGGTAAAAGGAGGGGGAAAGAGAAGTGACACCCGGCTGAAGGGTCCCTGACATGCCTGGAGCTGAGACCTCACAGCTCATCACAGGTGTGGGCACAGTGCCTGGTCACAGGGCACAGAGCATCCCTATTTACACCTGTGCTGGTTTACCCCTGGGCACTGCTCACTGCTGGTGTCACCAGAGCCCCGTGCTTGGGGCACTGAATGGTTGTACCCCCCAGCCCAGCTCCCAGCCCCTCTGGGAGCACAGACCCTCCACCCCAGCACATCACGAGCCACGGCCGTTTTGTTACTGTCATTAAGCTTTTATTTCCACTGTCACAAAGTTCCTGGGTTTCGTTTTGTTTTCTTTTCGTTTTTAAACAGTTTTCGTTTGCTTGGTTTGCTCTTGAATTCATCTCAAGACAAGGCAGCGGGGCATGCAAGCCGAGACACCGGCACGGACGCACACACAGGCTTCATCTTCACAAACACGGCTCTTTGCTGGAGCTGCTGCTTCTCAGCCCAGGGCTCAGCCACCCCCCAGGCAGGGGTCCCACTGGTGGGGCAGGGGTCCCACCCACAGGACACAGCACCCAGCCCAGAGGTGGCCACAGGAGCAGAGAGAGAAGGGAAGGATGGCTTTCCTGCAGGGCTGGCACATGCAGCTGAGACCCCAAAACTGCTGAACCCCAAACTGTGCACTGAGACCAGAGCCATCAGCTCTCTCCTTTGGCCCCAGTCCTCATTCCTGCCCCAGCCAGACCCCTCCCCTCCAAAGCCCTCACTAAATGGCTCCTTGGAGGAGCTGGCGTGGGTCACCCCCCATCACATCTGCATCCCCCCTGACCCTAAATACATGGGAAGAGGGCAGCTCTGCCAACGATTTCAGCTGCCCCCTTGCCATGCCTGGCCCTGCTTTGAAGCCAGCCCCCAGACCCCAAGAACTTCCCACCCCCTGGGCAGCCCGTTACCTGCATCCCTGCCCACTCAGGAGCAGTGGCTCTGGGATGGGGGTCCCACGGCCTCAGTCCCACCATGTCACGAGGATGCAGTGTCCTGATGGTATAGGAAGCACCAACAGGCATCTGCTTCTGCACATGTGGCTGAGATGCAACTGGTACCCAGCCCAAACAGGGTCTGGGGTTCCCCATAATCAAACACTCCCCCTTCACCAACACAGTGGAGAGCACTCCTGGGGGCTGCCTGATCTCGTTATAAATAACATTAATTAACGGGCTGCTCCAGAGGAAAAACCCTTCGCTTCTCTCTCCCTTGGGTCCTGGTTTGTGCTGTGAGGAGAGGGAGGGGGGAATCTGTCCCCAGAGCCTTCTCCCACATCCTTGCTCCTGGGGGAAACAGCTCAGCCCAGCCCAGCCCCAGAGCTCAAGGAAAGACGGGTACAAAGCAGCAACAGTCAGCACACGGACAGAAAAATGAAAAGAGAGTACAGACATGGCATTTAATGGGGCAACACCGACAGGGACAAATGAGAAGGGGGGGACACGTCGCAGTCACCAGGGCTGGACCTGCACCTCTGCCTGGCTGTGCTTCGGGTCCCCTTCCCATCGCCAGGGCTCTGTTTGGGACAGACACCAGGAACCCCAATATGAACAGAAACAAACCAAGGCTTGTCGGCCGTTTGCTTTTTGCCATGGGCAGGTGCAGAACAGAGACTGGACTTAATTATTCGCTGATGTGAACTCCACCACGGTGGTTCGTGCACCGCTCCCGGTGTTCCACACGTGTCTGATGTTTGGTGGGTCCTGCCAAGCCCTCGTGGCCGCAGCCATGAGCCATATCCAGCACTCATGCTTGCCAGGGCACTTGAACCGCTTTCCAGAGGGGGATGGCTCATCCTCACTGGTGGGGAAAGTGAGACACGAGGAGTTTAAGGCCAACATTCCCAAGCACAAGATGCTCCAAGCCTTATTTTCAGCAGTACTGGGATGCTGGAGATCCTGGTGATGTTCAGGAGGAGTTGGGGGCCCTCGGTGCTCACCAAAGGGCGACTGAAAGCATCCAAGCCAGGGTCCCAAATCCACAGCCGGGGTGGGGGGGTAATTCTGGAGCCAAAAGACTTTGCTCGGTGACACTCAGCGTGACAAACACCCTGGCAGGGCTGACTTCCCGGGGAGCACTGATGGAGCTCAACTCCTGACAGGTCCTCCAAAAATTAAAAGCTTTTCAGGGGAAAGTGTCAAAGCAAATGAGGTTTGCCTTTGCCCAGGAAATGTGTCAAACATCGCGGGGTCCCTCATTTGTCAGCGGAGGCGATTACAGCAGTGTCACATTCATTGGGAACATCCACTGGCACCGGGAAGGGACCAGTCTGGCAGATGAGCATTCAACAAGTTGGAGGCACTGCAAAAGTCTACCCCAGAGAGTTGCATTTTGGCCACAAAGCATCAAGGAAAAGGAGTTTTCCCTGGGAGGGAGCGAGGTGACCCCTTCCATGACTCCCCCACAATAAAACATGGGCACCCTCGGGGGCAGGAACTGCGGAAGAGGCAGAAATATTGCACGTGGATGTGAGGTTGGTCTCCTTGGGGATGGGGAAAGGTGGCTTTTTTACGGGCATCAGAAAGTACCATAAGCACATGGCCCTGAAACTGGGGAGCAGGACTGCACAGCAAAGGACCGGCATCCCTTGGCTGGGGCGTCTGTCCCTGCTGTGCCAAGGAGGACTCAGGGAACACTGAGGCACTGCCTTTTCTGCTGCATCGTGAGACACCTGTGACACTGTCCTCCACATCCAGCTGTCACCTCCCACTGCCATGGGGACAGTCCCCCAGCTGGGATCGGCCACAGGAGCTGCAGACATTCTGGGATACAGCTGGGCAGAAAGATGCTGCCACCATCAGCTGGACCCGGGGTGGAAGGGTGGGCCGCCCAGGGCTGGTTTTAGGGGTCCCACAGGCATCTTGCACTTTGCTCCTTCTTCCCTGGGGCTGGGGCCAAGGCAGGTGGAAAAACAGAGCTGTGGCAGCACCCACACAATGCTTATTCTCCAGCAGAGATGCCACCTGTGTCCCACAGCGTGTGTGCCAGTGGGGCTCAGCTGGGGGCGCATCCTGGAGTAGTGGTAGGTGACAGAGAGGCCATACAAGCACCTCTCACAGCTGGGGGGCTGCAGCCCCACATTTGGGTGTCACCAAGTGCTTATTCCTATCCCTCTGTGACATGGCCCCAGCTGGGATGGGGAGAAGGAGCAAGATGGAGCAATGCACCCCCTCTGCTCCGCCAGCGCTGCCGGCACATGGGCTGATTCACAGCCACCACCAAACAGACCTTCCCACCGTTTGCAAAGCAGAAGAGAGCAAAGGAACCCGTCTGAATGCAAACCCCAGCTCTGGGCTCCGTTAATACTTTTTCATGCAGTGAGAAAATGGAAATAAGGAAAGGAAATAGGGACGCTCTGGTGCCCGGTGGTTTCCTCGCCCTGCCCGACTGAGGGATGGAGCGGCTCAGTCTGCTGGGCTGAGCGAGTCCTCACTGAGCTCCCAAAGGGAAGGGTGAACATAAAAATGCAGGCAACAGGGGAATGGGAAGAGGAAAAAAAGCTACAACATCCCCTCCAAAGAGCAGCCAGCCCATGGAGCTTGGGATCCGGGGAGGGGGGGGAGGAGAGGGGGGGAAGGCAGATTTTTGGCTTCATTGTTATTGCAGGCTCCCGGGTCCCCGCAATAGCGTACGAGCATGTAAACCTTTACAAATCCTCACCTGGGTGGGTGGACACACACACACGAGAGACAGAACACAGCAGCAACATTTACAACAAATAAATAAGGATATCGATCGCCGAGATAGGCATATATAAAAAAAAAAAAAAAAAAGCCTTACTCTTTTTTTTCCACCAAAGGAAAAAAAAAAAAAAGAACCAAACCAGAAAGCACAATACTGTCTTACCAAAAAAAAAAAAAAAAATATAATATATATCCCTAGTGAGCCGGGCCAGGCTGCCAGCGGCATCGTGGGTGACGCCAGGACTCTGTTCCCAATCGCTGTGGGTGCCTCGGCTCCCCGGCTGCCCCGCACAGGCAGCACCCCGGGGTGTGCAGCCCCCCGGTACCTTTGGGCTCCGTCTCCAGCCGGCTGGTTCCCAGGAGAGGACCACGCCGGCACATCCGCAGTCCCATCCGGAAACGTAGGAAAAGGGGAGCAAAAGGGGGGCGAGGAGGCCGGGGGGGGGAACTCTGCCTTCGGCAACGCTCGACCCTTTCCCCCCGGCCCTCAAGTCTTGGGTGTTCGCTGCCGCTCAGACCAGGGTCTGGCGCGGGGATTTTATTTTTTTGGAAAAAGCAGAAGTTGGCGAATGGCAGCGGCTGGTTCAGAGTGCAGAGAGGGGGGTGAGCTCGCGCTGCGAGGGCATCCTTTGCTCGCGGAACAGAAAGGAAGGCCGAGAGGGACAGGCAAGCTTCGCGCGGCGGTGGTCGGATGGCACGGAGAGCGTCTTCCCCCCAGGCATCTGCAGGAGAGGGCAGGGAGAAGGGAAACAGGGTGAGAAGGGCGGGCAGAAATCCCCGTGGCCACCTGGTGAGACACCAGCGCAGCCGGAAGGGCGAAGCGGGAAACACAGAGGGGGTTTTGGAAAGCTCAGAACTCCAATGGGGTTAAAAAACACCTCACTCCCCATGGCTGGACACTGACTGGACTGGGATGACCAAAATCACCCCATGAGACACCTCTAAGTGGCCCCATAGGGTAAAGAAAGTCCACAGTGTACTCAGTCCACCATTTGTGGGATGCTGTGAACCACAGAGTCCCTGACACCACCAGCTCCAGGGCATAATAAGATATAACATAAATAAAACCTTTATTATGATATCTTTTTGGAGCACCCCCATGCCCCCAGCATGCCAGCTGCCTTCCTGCCTCCTCTGTTGATGAGAGTATGAGCTGTGCCACAGGCAAATGCTGCCAATCCCCACGGGATGTGGTCTGGGGGTGCTCTGTGGGATGGGAGGGACTGGGAGAAACCATCAGAACGGGGGACACATGCCCCCCTTCTGGATCTGGGGGAGATGCCTGTGTTTTGATGCTTCAGCAGAGGAGAATCACCTGGGGAAGACAGGAATGGCACCAGGGAGGTGGGACATGGGGCACCCCCAGCCCCCCGCGCTGCACTCACCGCCGCTCGGCCCCGGGACTATACGAGCCCGTCATAGAGGGAGAGCGCCTGCACGATGGAGGGGTCGGCCTTGGAGCCCTCCTGAAATTCCTGCAGCGTCAGCTTCCCGTCTGCATTCTGGAAAAACACTCCTGTTACAGCACCACTTTGGCCCAGCTGAGTGACCCCGGCACCGAGCACCCCAGGAACCCAGCAGCACCCACACCATCCCACACAGCCACCCAGGTCCTCCCCACTGCCACAGCCTCGGCTTCCCCACCAAACCACCCATGCCTGCAGCCAGGGAGGAGTGCCATGGGTGGGGCAATGCCACCTTGGGGACCCTGAAATGGATACAGGGGTCTCTGGGGGATGTAGGAGGTCCCACAGTGATCCTGGTGGCAGCTGAGACCTTGTATTGGTGGGGGAAGGAGGCACCTGCAAGAGCCAAGATGCAGGAAAGGGGACCAAAGCACCTCCTAAATCCTTTGGCCCCTGGGAAAAGGCCCTCAAGCATCCTCACCTTGTCCATCATGGCAAAAATCCGATCCACCCTCTTCTCCGGTGTGTTCTCCTCCTCAGGAAGCTCCACTGTGTTTCCCTGCAGGAGCAGGACAGGACTCGGTCACACACCCACCTGTGCCCTGCCTGGAAGGTGTCCCCAGGCAAGGACACGAGTTTTGTCCCCCAACACCCCCAACATCAGGACAGGGTGCAAGGGGACGGTGTTGGCAGCAGAGCCACACACAGCAGCCAGATCCAGACCCTTTTGGCCACGATGGCCAAAATCCCCCACGGAAAAAGGCCAAAGAGGGAACTGGAGGTGTTTCAGCATTCCAGCAGAGCCAGGCTCCAGCCCACAAGGGACCCCCAGAGGGTGCTCCCCCCAAGTCACCCCACCCCACTTACCACCATCTGATAAATCGCATCCACAATGTCCAGCATCTCGTTCCTCGTGATGTACCCGTCGTTGTCCAAGTCGTACAGCTTGAACGCCCCTGCAGGCCAGAGCAACACCGAGGTGCTGGGACTGTCACCCCGCCACGTGACACCCCCCAGCACCCTCGTGGGGCTGAGCCCACCGGCATCCCACGGGGAGCACTTACACCTCAGCTTCTCGTCCAGCGTCCCCCGGGAGGTGACTGACAGCGCCTGGATGAACTCTGAAAACTCGATTCTCCCGTCCTGGGGAAGGCAAGGAAGGGGTGAGGGCGCTGCTGCCATCCCTGTCCAGCAAAGCCCTCCCTGCCCACATGTGCCCTCTGAGGGGACACACCCAAGAAGGCAACAGGGAGGGAGGAGCGATGCACATCCAGTCCCAGCAGCGTGATCGGGCCGCAGGATCCCTGCAGGAGCGGCTCCGGAATGCGGGGGGCACTGCAAGGCTGGGCTTTTGTCAGCAGCACCAAAACATCGCGTTTCTCCTCTCCTGCTTTGCCACTTCATCGCCTTTCCCCACGTGACTCTCCTCGACTAAAATAAGCACGGGGGCTCGCTCGCTCCAGCTGCGCCACTTCCATTTCACGCCCCAGGAAGCACTGGAATGTTTTGCTCCTCCGGTGCTGCACAGCCGTGCTCCAAACCCATCCCACTCATCACCACGGGCCCAGCCCTGACTCCCCTGGGCTGCGGCCCCGGACCCCACACTCACTTTGTTCTCATCAAAGACGTTGAAAACAAAGGTGGCGAATTTGGTCGGGTCGCCAAAGGGGAAGAACTGCTTGTAGATCTTCTGGAAGCCAGCGGCGTCGAGCTGCCCGCTGGGACAGTCCTTGATAAAGCCCTTGTACCTGTGGAGGGGGGACAGAGCATGGGCACCAGGAGGATCTCCCCGCTGAGCCTCGGGGAGATGGGATGAGGCACTTCCCTGTGCTGCAGTGGGCTGGAGCTGGGCAGGTCCCCAGGGGGCTGCCTGTGTCACTCCCATCACCCACCCGCAGCCTCCCACCCCCTGTGGGATGAGGTCCCTGCGGGCACCACAGCGAGGGTGGCAGTGGGGACAAGCAGTGAGTGGCACTAGTGACACCAAGCAGTGCCCACTGCATCGCTCCAACCTGCTGCCAGCCCACAAGTGGCAACAGAGCCACAACCAGTGCCCAGGAGCTGGGAGGGGACAGGGACCCCCTGCCCGGACAGGACTGACAGCAACCCCATGTTGCAGCCATGCTCTGGTGAAAAACAACGGCACAATGGCAGCTGAGGTTCTGTGAGGGTGTTTGGGCACCAGAACAGGCTCCCCAAGGAAGTGGTCACAGCACTGAGCCCGCCAGAGATCAAGAAGTATCTGGACAATGCTCTCAGGCACATGGTGGGATTCTTGGGATATGCAGGGCCAGGAGCTGGCCTTTGATGATCCTTGCGTGTCCCTGCCAGCTCAGGATACGATTTTTGCACAACCCCAAGTGAAAGCTGCTCAGGGGAGCTGAGGGGGCACAGCGGGGTTACTGTGTCCTCGGGGTGGCATCTCCAAAACCCAGCAGTGCTTAAACACCTCAACAAGCCCTTGGTCCCAGCTCTGGGCGCCTGGGTGCTGTGAAGTGCCACCCTGGAGGGTGTGGCACCTGTGGGTGCAGGGAGCATGCAGGGACCACACGGGGACCACGTGGGGTACGTGAATATTATGCAACACATCGCCCAGATCTGTCAGGCTCCCGTTGCAGCGGGACGAGGGAGGGGAAGGGGGTGGCGAGGTGGGAAACCGAAGTGCCGGTGACATCTTTTCCACGCTGCTGCAGCTATGACTCATCGGGTGGGGGGAAGGATGAGAGAAAGAGATAAAGAAAGCAAACCTTGGCTGGTGGGATAGGGAGATGAAAGGGAAGCAGTGGCTTTTCTAGGGCGCCTGTTCGGTGGGGCGGAGGGGATGGGGTGAGAGGATGGTGCCAGCAGGAAGCCATGGATCTCGCCCCTGCCAGCCTCTGTGGGCCCTGCTGCAAAGGGGGACATGCTGGGACAGCACCGGCCTCCTGCAGCCAAGGCCATGGCCACCAGCTGGACAGTCCCCATGTCCCAGTGCCACCCATATGGGGAGGGAAGAGGCAAGGGCTGCAGCAGTCAAGCCCCACCATGCGTGAGGTGTGCAAGGAAAAAACCTCTATTTTCTTTTTCCTCCACCTTTTTTGAACCCTCTTTTTCCTGTGAGACAACACCTGCACCCTGCCCATGCCTCCTGCACCCCCCAGCTCTGCCCAGCCAGCTGAGTTCCATCAGCTCCCCTGCCCTCACCCACGTCCCCAGACCCCTGCCAGCTCACCACCAAACCAGACACTCACCACTGCTGCACCTCCTTCTCTGTGACTGCAAGAGAAAAGACGAGAAAAGAGGAAAAAAAGAGACAGGAATTTAGTGCTTTCGCAGTGACAGCTGCACATTCCTCTGCACTTCTGCCAGTGACTTCCCAGGGGCTCCCATCAGTGAATTCCAAGGGAGGATGTCCCAGGGCTCCCATCAGCGAATTCCCCTGGAGGGTGGCCCAGGGCTCCCATCAGTCAATCCCATAGGGAATGCCCCAGGGTTCACTTGTTTCACACCCTGCCACATGTTCCCCACATGCCAGTGGCTGCTTTTGAGGCACAGCCTGGGCCACCCCAGGTGGTCAGTGGTACCAGGGCTGCAGGTGCTGGCGATACTCCAGCCCTGAAACCAGGGAGCTCCTCAAAATGTTTTGGTCCCTGCCAGAAGAGTGCAGCACCATCACTGCAAGACACTGTGGACCATGCAGGGACAGTACTGGCCCTGCCCTCCCACCTCCCCAGAGCTAAAACACCCCCGGAAAAATCTGCCAAAACATCTGCCTGGAGTTAGCTCAGGGAAGGAACACGCCTGGCCCTGACATATTGAGCATGGGCACAGGCACAGCCCCAGAGCTGGCAACCCCCCAGGTACCAGCTGCCTCTGACCCACTTGGAGAAACATCATCAAACCCATCCCAAGGCCCTGGGAAGCTCCACCAGGCTCTGGAGAAACCCCAAAAATGTACAAGCTAGAAAACAGCAAACACTGGCAATCCTGAGTGTCCCCAGCCCAGGGACAGCTGCTGAGATGGCAAATGTCCTCAGCAGAGGGAAGGCTCTGATGGGATGCCGGGCAGGGCGCTGGCGCCCATCCCTGCTTGTCCCACTGCAGGAGCAGTGCCTGGACAGAATGCCAGCAGGGAGCCTGGTGCCAGGGGGTGGGCACAGGGGGGGGAACAACCTCATTAGTAATTTCTTTTGCATCCTGCATCTAACTAACCATAGGAAAGCCACAGGTCTGAAAGGCGCAGGGATAATGAGGCGAGCGGAGATGTCAATGTGCAAATGGCTGATAAAAATAGAGACCCAGGACACATCAACAGATGCCAATTACCTTGGATGGCAAGAAAAAAAAAAAAAAAAAAAGAAAGCAATTTTCCATCAGGAAGATTTGTAACGTGCCTGGCAGAAGGTGCAGAGCGCAGAGGCGAGGGCCTCTCCCACCACGTGCCGGGTGCTGCCTCCAGCACCCCTGTGGGCAGGAACTGCTGTGCCCAAGGCTGTCCCCGTGCACTTGGGGTCCCTCCATCCCAGGTCAGGGGTTGCTGGAGGGACAGAGCCTGCAGTTCTCCCAGGAAGGGCTACCCCAGCCTCCCCAGGGAGATGGCAAAGGGCAGCAGCACCGGCAGTACCACCGTGGGGTGTCTGGGCAGCCTCACCTCACAAGAGGAGGGGCAGGCGCAGGGATGCTTGGTACCTGGGATGAAGGACACCAAGGGCTTTGGCTGCACTGCAGGAGGGATCTGGAGAGTTGTTTGTTTTGGCAGAAGAGCAGACAGGGGAAAGGACAGAGGTCTCTTGTCAGGAGGGAGCCAGGAAGGACATGCTGCATCCAGCAGCTGAGCTGGGGTGGGCTAAAACAATAGTCAAGCCAGTCCCAAGCGATTTCCCCATCCCACAAAAAGGGTTGCACAGAAGCATCCTTCCCAAAGAGAGATGCTGGGTGACATCTCTTACAGGAATAGGCTTCTATGCACACTTTCCCTGCAAGCATCGACACACTGACCATGACCCCCACCTCGAAGATGCCCAGGGGATGCCCCAGGCACCAGTTCCACAACCCCAATCAAGCCCAAGTGGGCACCACGAAGGACAGGTGGAAGGAGGAGGGTGAGCAGCAGGAATTAGGGCAGCCCTTGGGGCAGGTGAAAGGAGCCAAAGCAGCAGCCTGAGGCTGCAGTTGGGGCTCAGCTCAGCTCCTCCAGGCAAATCGCCTTCTGCTCTCTCTTGTTCGACTGCGTTTCCCCCAACGTGCTATTTTGGGCCCGGGAGCTGCCTTTCAACTCCAGCAGGAAACAATTAAGAAATTTGTGCTTTTTTTAGTACAGGAGAAATGCTGGTAATGATACGCTCGGGTTGAGGCGGGAGGGAGGGATGGAGCCAGCTCCCCTCGTGCCGCAGGAGGGATGTGTGATGCTCCCAGGAGAGGCTTTTCCGATGGAGGAAACCACTCAGGTGCCAGCCTGAAAATCAGCACGGGGCTCCCGAGGAGGGATTTGTTAATGTGTATCCTGGAATGGAGCCACGCAGAGCCACATCCCTCCTCCAGCATACGGGTACCAGTGTCTGTCCTCCGGGTACGGAGGAAGCTGTGGGGTTTGCCCTGCGGTGGGAGCACAGCCTCATCTCCCAGCCCTTGGAAAACCATGCACCTCTGGGTGCACCCCTCCAAATCTGCCACTGAATCTCCCCTCTCCGCAGGGGCAGAGTGTTCCCAGTGCAGGGAAACACCCCAGCCCTGACCCAGGTGAGCTGGGCCTGAGCTGTACCTGCCTCCCTGTTATCTGCTGTTACGGATCTGGGACAGATCACGACTTCACGACTGTCCCTTCCCAGCCACTCCGACCTTGCTGGGTGTGCCACTCGAGTGGCACTGATTAGGGATGCCAATGCCCAGCCCAGCAGCTGGACCTGCAGACAGGGAAGCCTTGGGGACACACCATTGAGTGTGTGACTGAGTCACCTGTCCAGAGGCTGGGGACAGGGGACACATGGAGAGGCAGGGCTGTCCCTCCACTCACCCGGATCCATGCCCTGCAGCTCCCCGGCACGCAGAGCCCAGCCAAGCTCACAGAAAGCACCCGTGTGGCAGCGGCGGCTGCTGCATTTCCCTCCCCTGGCATCGATTACTGAGCCGATACGCATCAATTTGCAGCGATATAAACCTCAGCCAGGTGTGCCCCCGGTGCCCGAGGACAAGGGGGTGACCCACAGCAGCCCCACTGCAGCATCACACCGGAGCAGAGCCGAGCTCTGGCTAAGCCGGGGCTCAGGCTGGGCTCAGCTGCCGTACCGTGCTCCAGGGACCGCCGCTCCCGCAGCCGCTGTGGGGAGGGCTATAAATAGCACACGTAGCAGCTTGTTAGTAGCAGCGTGCCCCGGGATCCTTGGGGATGAAAGGCTCTAAATAAAGGCAGAGTATTAGCATTCGTTACGAACCGCAGCGCTGGAAGAGGCATCGCCGAGCCGGGGAGGGAGCCCCGGGCTGCGCGCCGCAGACTCCGGCCCCGTGCGAGCGAACATCACCGCACGGCAGCGGTGACAGCACATCGCTGCTCCGCGGCAAAGAACGGGGGATCGCCGAGCCTGGGTTCACACCGCAGGCAGTGGGGACGGGGACACGCAGTGGGGACAGGCACCCAGAGCAGCTCAGGAGCTGCCCCGCACGGCCACGGGCTCTCGCTGCCCTTGGCAGCGCTGGTCGGTCCGTTCCTGCTCCCGCCTCAGCTGGCAGGAGGGTTTTGGCTGCGCATCTCACAGAGCACAGAAGGGCAGAGCCTCCAAGGAGCCCCCGGCAACCCCCTCCCAGCTACCGGTACCCAAACTCCCCCCCAAACCCTGTCCCCCCACCTCTCCATCAATCCCAGCGACACAGGCGAGGACTGACAGCTCCGTCACCACCCGCCCTTCCCGTGCCCCCTCTCCTCCCACCACCCAGCTGCCACTGCAGCAAGAATCAGCTCTGGTTAATCAGTGCTCGAGCCTGTTAATTTGTGTTTTGCAGGCAGCGAGGAGAGGAGGGACCCGGGACTGCAAATCCCCATCCGTCACCCTGCTGCAGGGGAGCTCACTGCTCGCTGGACCGTGGCAGGGCCGGGGCAGCAGGAAGGAGGGCAGGAGGTGGCCAAATTCGAAACGCTCCAGGGCCCCCTGGCCACAGCGGGATTCATGAGGTGACACGATGCTCCAGTCCCACCGGGCTTTTTGTTGTGCTGCTATCGCCTCCCCTGCCTGTCCAACGGCAGGGGCTTGGCCGTGGCCACAGGGCTGGATCCTGAGCAGGACCGTGCACACTCAGCCCAGTCCCTGTGTGCCACAGTCATAGCACAGGTCTGACTTTGTGTGGCAAACAAAGGCTTGGCAAGCACCGTCCCCAGGCAGCAGCTGGGGGGGAGTCCCCCCTCACTCCAGCCACTACAACAGCACCTTGAAGCCCCTTGATCCCCAGGGCCATGGCCACCACCACCTTATCAGGAAACCAGTTAATTATTTCCAGCCACAAAGTAGCTTCCCTCACCGCCACAGGGCACTCCAGCTCTGCCGGGTCATGGGCTCTGCCACCAACCCACGGGCAACTAACTGGTCCAGCACCACCCACTGAGTCATGGCAGGCTCTGCTGCTCTTTCACAGGATCCCCACAGGTCCCTGAGCATCCCAGTCTGGGCTCCCATTAGGTTTGAGGCTGCCTAAACCTGCTGTGGAGGCTCAACACAGCCCCAGGATGATGAGAAATTGGGCATCCACGTGCATGCAGTGGGTGCTCCTGCATGAGCAAAGTGTGCACACTTAGGCCTGCACTAACTGGCCACTCATGCCTGAGCCAGATGGGCACTCATGCAAAAATACACCAGGAGATCATGCATGGACTAATTCGACACTCGTGCATAAATTATGTGGGTGCTTCTAGGTGAACTAATTGGGTGCTCATGCATGAACTGCCGGGGTGCTGAGGCATGAGTGAAAGGGGCTCTCATGCAAAAACCAGCTGGGGGCTCATGCATCAATTTTTTGTGGTATTCATGAATTTCTGGGGCGCTCATGCACGGACTAATTGAGCAGTCACGCGTCAACACGCTGGGCACTCCTGCGTGAACTAATTGGGCACTCATGTGTAAATTAGTGTAATTAGTAGATAACACACTTGTGCACGTACTAATTGGGCACTCAGGTGTGAGTGGATCAGGTGCTCATGCATAAATTAATTGGACACTCAGGCATGAACTGATTGGAGGCACATGCACCAATTAACTGGGCACTCATGCATCAGCCACCAGGGCGCTCAT